AGATAGGCCTGGACTGTACGACGTTGGCAACGACGTGACTGGCAGGGGGTTGTCGTCACTGACGAAAGTCGAGTCTGTATGTTTAGGGCTGATGGAAGACAACGTGTTTACCGCCGAAGGGGTGAACGAACGGCGGCGTGTTGCGTGCAGGAGGTCGTACCATATGGTGAAGGGAGTGTCATGGTGTGGGGAGGGATCTTTGGGCAGGAGAGGACACCGCTGGTCATCGTTGACGGAAACTTGACAGTTCAGCGGTACATGGATAACATTCTTCGTCCAGTTGTCCTACAATTTCTACAACAGCAACCACGTGGTGTCATTTATCAGCATGACAACGCTAGAGCCCATACAGCCAGAATTGTCACTAACTTCCTCACAGCCAACAATGTCAACGCCCTGTAGTCGCCTGCACGCTCACCCGACGCGTCCCCCATAGAACACCAATGGGACTTGATGGATCGTCGTGTTCGACAACGACCACACTCTCCAGCCAACCGGCAAGAACTGATCTTGGCCCTCCAAGAAGAATGGCGTCAAATCCCACGTGACCTCATCAGGCGACTGACTTTTTCTGTGCGTCGAAGAGTTTTTGCGTGTATTGAGGCATTTGGTGGTCACACACGCTACTAATGACTTGTTATTGAACGTGAACGATTGTTTATGTACTCTGCCTATTGTCCATGATTCTGAAAGCTCGAGGTTTGTACCACACCCAACTTTAGGGGGCTCTGACATCATTCTCGGGCGCGGTATGATTGTCACTTTCAGTGTTGATTATGTTGATATATTGATCTTCTCCATACACTTTACTTCATGCATGTATGTTTTGTTGTTTTTGAGCAAGAGTGATTTCAAACTCTGGTAAAGTTTCTTTTGGACGTCAGTTTATTTTAATCATACACAATATATCTCATTGAATATCTTGAAGCTGCCAATGAAAGCATGAACTCAATTACTGTGCAAATATAAGAGTTCATTTTGTATAAGTATAAGTATGAAGTTATCATTTTTTAACTTCGAAAACTACGATGTGCCCACTGATACCGTCATTATGTTGACGGTCTGATTGTTAACAACCATGAGTTGCAATATGTTATATGAAATCATTGCTTTGTATAACATCGGGTCATGGATGCTGTTCACTTTCATTGGTACTGGATTCTTCTTTGCGCAATAACCAGATTATCTCATTGATTGATTATTTGTTTTAAATTTAAGCAAGTTTTGTGCCTTGTGGAATTGTAGATGAAGAAACAAACAAAAAAACAATTCGCATTGACATAAGTAAAGAAAATATCAATTAAATCTGAATACGTCAATGTGTCAATTTCTTTTCCTCAAAAGTACAGGTATTAGTATTCATATTCCACTTGTTAATAATTTGTATTTGTAACATTTTTTTTATTTTCTTGCATTTACATTTACAGTCGTAGTCTGTTGACTTTGCAAACGATATTAGGCTGAGCCCCCAGACATTTTTTTAAACATTGCATATTTAGCAATTTCGTGCCGTTTGGACAATATTCATACCAACAAATGTAACAGGTCAGTGGCAAAAGTAAATAAGTCAAAGATGGCGGATGCAGTAAAATTTCAAAGTTGAATCAGTACTTTTAAAAAATTGGGAATAGCTTCAGCGCACCCGGCTACCCGCCAGGTCTGGGAGCAATACTGCTACAAACGTGCAATGTCTGACTCTTTTCCCATGTTGAAGCATATTGAGAAAAGCTTACCTTGTTCTTACTTACCTTTTGTAAAACATAAGACATTAATTGCAACATATATCCCCGTGTTATGAGTTTTCGGATGCTGAATAAAGATTCATGGTGTTTTCATATGAACAACTGTAAAACATCTCATTGACTTATAAAAGACAACGTTATCATAAAAACAAGCCATCATCGGAATACTTCTGTGTGATGCCACACCCCTCGTTATAGTGCAAGTATTCGTGATAGAAAATGTATGATGTCCAAAAACTTAAGATCAGACAATAATAGTATTGTGTTATGAATAATAATAAATGCATGTTTGATGCTGAAAGCTCTGATCGCAAAACAGGACAATCCGCGACGGTTGTCCGGAAACACGATATTTTTCGGAGTATTTTCTTTTAAATCTTTGATTATATTTTTACGCGGAAGATGATTTTTCCAAGGACTACTGTTTTAAAAAACGCGATGTTCCGCGTTTCCGCGGATATTTCACATCATATCAATGTATACCGTTCAATTCAACCGTACAAACCAAATTCAACACTTTTACGTAATAATGATTTATATAATTTAGCTTTCATCCTCTGTGCAATCTGTTGGCTAATCTGCTATGCGCACGAGAGCATGTTACAAATCACATCGCGGCATCCCGTACAAACCAATCCAAGCTCAGCACAAATCGATTTCAACACTTTCAGGTGATTATAATAAAGAAGTCACCGCCAATGCAATCACCTCCGACTGCTAATCCGCACTGTATATTTGACAATAAAGTCTACCCAAATACCAGACAGACAGACAGACAGACAGACAGTTTATTATAGTCTCACCTCATTACAATGATTTATACATACTTTTAAAATACAAAAATTTATATCTCAAATACATATCATATGTAAAAGTATACAAGTATAAAATGTAACGAGCCACCCTATACAGGGTTACGAGAGACTTTTCATAAAAAGAGCATATTAAAATATAAATAAAAGGTACATAAACTACAACGCATATTAAAGTAAAACCATGGATTAAGAATAAAGGCAATCATATCTTTTAGAAAAAAATGTTAAAGCAGGTTTTGGCACTTAAATATATCACATCTTGGGAAGACAGGATAAAACTGGCTGTTCTCGGATCATCGAAATTCTTAAAATCGTCTTCAACATCGCAACCTTTTCTTAAAAGTTCTTCTCTTTCGGTTTCAAAGTTAGGACATCTTAGTAATACGTGTCCTTCGTCTTCCATACCATCAGCACAAAATGGACATATTCTTTCATCTAGGGGCGTGTTTGTGTAGCGTCCAGTCTCTACTTTGAGGGGCGCCTCCCCACTCCTGAACTTGGCTAAAGCCGACCTATATCTCCTCGGCATAGGGGTTCGAACATAATACTCCGTTTCGTAACCTTCCTTGAAACTGTTGGATGTTCTTAGCTTATTTCCGCCGATTCCTCTCTTTCCTTCCTGTTGTGAAACCTCATTCCTCCAATTTTCTTTAAATTGCTGCATAGTCTTATCTTGGATGGTATTCACAATGTAATGACTTCCATATACTTTGTCCAGTGGTATAATGTGAGTTAGGCTTGATTCCTGTAACTTCTTGTGTAGTCGGAAGGTCCAGTTGGATTTTCGTCTTATTGCCCATTGATGACTCCACTTGAATATCTTGTAGTTGAGACGCTGATGGTCCATTCTCCTATGGCGCATGTATAGTCGGGTGACTGACCCCCACTGTCGCACAGTTGTTGTCCGGAAACACGATATTTTTCGGAGTATTTTCTTTTAAATCTTTGATTATATTTTTACGCGGACTACCAAGGACTACTGTTTTAAAAAACGCGATTGTCCGCGTTTACGTGGATATTTCACATCATATCAATGATTACCGTTCAATTCAACCGTACAAACCAAATTCAACACTTTTACGTAATGATGATTAGCTTTCATCCTCTGTGCAATCTGTTGGCTAATCTGCTATGCGCAAGAGAGCATGTTACAAATCACATCGCGGCATCCCGTACAAACCAATCCAAGCTCAGCACAAATCGATTTCAACACTTTCAGGTGATTATAATAAAGAAGTCACCGCCAATGCAATCACCTCCGACTGCTAATCCGCACTGTATATTTGACAATAAAGTCTACCCAAATACCAAGCGCCGAAAAGTACCAGACGCCTCAATCGCTTACCCGTCAATATTATTGCAAGGAGGGTATGTACTCCCGCTAACAGTGTGGAGTACTAATTAAACATCCCAATAATGTTACACGCCACTATATCAGTTTTATTTGTAACTTGCTAATAATATTGATCGGCATTTTGCACATACAAAACAATTATAGAACAATACCCAGCAGTTACCCCCCTTTATCAACATTAACAAAGAAACACAGTGCTCAACTTAAAATACTTCATTTTGCACATATACAATGATTATACACGAATACATTACAATTATCTCCCTGTACTAATATATACATAGAAAAACAATTTTGGATACATCATATATACAAAATTGTATATTTTGTATATGTCATAAATACAAACTTGTATATTTTGTATATCTCATCATTCCAAACTTGTATATGCTTTGGATATACCATCTTTCCAAAGCATTTACAAGCTTGTATATGTGGATTTTTTTTTGCAGTGTTAGGTCGGTGTTACACGTTTATTTTTCCTGTCGCAAGCAGCAACTCTTCTACAATTACCCAATTTAATATATTAATATATAAGGGCTTGGTTTGGTGTGTTGCTTTACGCCGCACTCAGCAATATACTTAAGCTATCTGACGGCGGTCTTTAAATAATCGAGTCTGGACCAGACAATCTGGTGATTTTTATCAATTGGGATAGGATGGCATGCATCAAGTCAGCGAGACTGACCACCCGATCCCGTTTGTCGCCTTTTACGACATGCATTGTCGCCTTTTACGATAAGCATTGGTTGCAGAAGACCTAATCTACCCCGGATCTTCACGGGTATACTGATATATTAAATTGGGTAATTTAAGACGTGACGACATGAACGACAGACATGTTGTGGTGATGTTGCAATATTGAAAAATGATTTCTGCAACAGGATCAATTGACCTTTAGGCCAAAATGGCAAAACAGAGATAAATACAGTATACTACGGTTATAACGAACTCAAAGGGGCCACTAATATTTGTTCGTTATAACCGTAGTTCGTTATAAACATATATGTCACATATATGTCACACGTGTCAAGGTTGTCACCGTCCCTATATCAGGTGACTTGTAGCCTGCACTTGCACTTGATAATATCATTGTCTGCCCCGATAACACCATATCAAGTCCCGAGATGTTGTGAAAACGTTTCCAGACATATTGTAGTTGAGACGGGATGCTGAAGGCGAAGTCACTATGATGTCGACAATAGTAGCAGCCCTACTCTTCGCCTTCATCGGCGGCGTTCTCGCACAGCGACCCAACATTGTATTCATCGTCGCGGATGATCTAGGTAAAGTCTATGAAAGATCAACCCTTTTCTAATGGGTTAGTTGTAACTGTTTCTTCGAATATACCTTAACACAAGATAAACTGCCAGGCAAACGAAAGTATACACTCATCTTTGTTGGTGACTAAGAATGAACCAAATGTTGATGTATTTGATATGGGAATTTTGGACCTCACGTTTGAAGTTTTTCGGCCACTGTTTTCAGCCTAAACGTTTGTTAATGTTAGGAATCTTTTGGTGATATCTAAAGTTCAAGTGTATACTTTATTTTGTTTGCCCTACAGTGTATGTTGAGTTATCAGATTGACGTAGTTCTGCACGACGTAATAGCTAATAGATTTGGTCAGTTAACAGCTTTAACGGCCGAACCAGTGGCTTGATTGAGTGAATTGGGTAAATGAGTTGTGATTAACACCGTTGTGGTCAGCATTTTAATTATTCGGAGCCCATTGCAGCCACGCATATGTGGCATGGCCGTATCCAGATCTTGGAGCAATTGTCAATACTACAGGATATATTAATTGCCGTTCTGAAAATACCCAAGCAGTATCCTGATTCACCTCATTGATGTTTGTTTGTTTCTTTGTTCTTTAACGCCGCATTCACCAATATTCCAGCTATATGAAGGCGTCTGTAAATTATCGAGTTTGGACCAGACAATCAAGTGATTGACATCATAAGCATCGTTCCACGCAATTGGGATATGATGACATGCATCAACCAAGTCAGCGAGCCTGACCACCCGATCCCGTTAGTTGCCTCTTACGACAAGCATAGTCGCCTTTTACGGCAAGCATGGGTTGCTGAAGACCTATTCTACCCCGGATCTTCACGGGTCCCTCATTGATGTAGGACCCAATGCTGTCATTGATTGTGGAATTCACTAAGGGGTCCAATATGTTTTCCTATTTATATGTTATACCCAGGACATCATCATAGGATAAAATAATTCTGTAAGCTTGAGCCGTCCTCGTATAACAGGAGCGAGTGAGGGAATTAACTCCGCTTTGAGGCGTATTACCTTTAGCGTGTCAGCTTAATATGGGAGGAAAGCCCGAAGTGATGCATGTCACAGACGTTTACCACTTTGGTGAAACCAACCAGCATGGGTATGGTGCTGACAAAACTAGAAACATAATCGGGGCGAACAGGGATTCGAACCCACAGTCATAGGTGCCTGGGGTGTCCAAGGGACTCCACAGTGAATTGCGGCGCCCCAGACGACTGGACCACCCTTGTCCCTCATAAAACAGGATGACTGCCGTGCAGCTTTAAGCCAAAAAAACTTCTATTTTCTTCAGCCAGTGTTAGTGGCGGGTGCTACCAGTCGGGCAGGGCATGCTTACCATTTGCGTGAACACCTAGTGTCATCACAGATTTTCAGTGATCCATTCATATAATTTTCACTGCTATTGTGTCCTAAATGCCCAATGGAATCTGTTTCGGTAGACATATAATATGACGAAATATAATAACCATCCAAGTCTCAATTTTCATCTTGTTGTTTTTACAAACCAGAGTAACATAAAAACAACTGTCGTGTTAATATACATATATGGCTATCAAACACAGAGGTTCGTCAGAAGATGTTGGTTGTTGCAGGCTGGAACGATGTTGGCTTCCGGAACCGTGACATGCTGACTCCTAATATGGACAAAATGGCGCGAGATGGTGTGATACTGGACAGGAACTATGTACAGCCGCTGTGCAGTCCGTGAGTGTCATTCAACGTCTATTTCACAAGAATATTGAAACAGTTTATTGTAACATGTAATGTAACATGTTTAACTCCACATATACTGGCGGGCAAAAGTAAGTGGAATACTGTTCAAACGATGCTTTACAAACGCTGATTGTGAAAAAACTGTCATTCATAACAAACTCACTGCACATGAAGAGTGTCCGTATGTTTCAGCTCCCGAAGTGCATTTATGTCTGCGGTTTTCCCCTTCAAATCTGGTCTTCAGGTAAGTGAGTGAGTGAGTGAGTGAGTGACGCCGCTTTTAGCAATATTCCAGCTATATCACGGCGGGGGACACCAGAAATGAGCTTAACAAATTGTACCTGAACCCGGGTCTTCGGGCTGTGTGTTTCCCACTTAACTACACACTTCTACCCCAAGAGCTGAAGAAGTTAGGATACGCAACTCACATGGTGGGGAAGTAAGTTGTGGCAGACACCATGACCGTGTTTTCATGTAGTATACAGGATGTCTTCTGAGCTGTGATAGTTGACATGACAGTTGATATGAGACGTGATTCACGGCAGGCGAGTTCAGATCCTGTAACATGATACACAGCGATTCCCTAACTCTACCCTGTACCAGTCCCTATCCCTACGAGACACAACCAAGGTTTGGGGCAGATTTAGCACGAACGAAACTAGGATAGTTGACGTGATAGTTGACATGAGCCTCCTCACGTTAGTCTAGATCATATAACACGATACACATGGTGTCACACCCATCCCTGACTCTGCCCCTTCCTGTCCTCATCCCTATCCTGAGGACACACAACCAAGGTTTGGGCTATCGAATGAAACGGAAGAGAATATACAGGATAGTTGACACTACCCAATGGGCATAAGGTAAGAGTAACCTCCCTTTCCAGCATCAAGTCATTGGAGCTAAACAATCAGTCTGCCTACCCCTCAACTACACCATCCTCCCACAGGAGCTGAAGAAACTCGGCTACGCCACACACATGGTTGGCAAGTGAGTGCCCAATCTTAACACCTCACCAATCACGTCAAACAAGTACGGAATGACTTTGGCTAAGATGATAAGGAAAGCTTAACTTTTCCTGAATCTTTTATTGAAGACATGTAATCATATGTCTCATTCTTTACTCATTAAACAATTAGTGAGGGGGGTTATTGTTCCTTACCGTGCCAGGATCGTGGGCTCGAACCCAGTTTCACTCCGATTATTACCCTTGGTCTGTCAGTTACGAAAAAGTGGTAAATGTCTTCCTCTCACCGTCTCTAATATTATTGTTTAAATTGGCATAATGAATTCTGTTAATAAGGGACAAATCAAACTGATTATCATGAACACAGCAATTGTTAACGTAACACTGATTAATCGTATACATTGAAACAGCTTCGTTTTCTTCAGTAAGAAAACTCACAAGAATTTCGAACCACATCATTCAAAATACTTCGAAGATCCATCGAAATGTGAATACAGGGATGTTGGGAATAGGTTCCATGTAATATCCAACAATCTGACAAGTGACACATTGTCCACTCCAGATGGCACCTGGGTTTCTGTGAGTGGGGATGCACACCAACATACCGGGGCTTTGATACTTTCTTCGGCTACTATAATGCATTGGAGGACTATTACTTGCATAATATTTGTAAGTACAACACTAAACCAATCCACAGTGGGGGTATGCGTTCTACCCATGTCAGGAAGTAAACCACACCACATGAGAGACTGACACTGGTCGACACATAATGTACCACCTAAATCCCACTTGATCCAGATACACACTTGACTTGTCTGTCTAGTCATTGGTGTAGTCTACTAGTTTTTTCACTATACGGTAGATATTGCACTTTAGTCTTTTGGACGATCAAATCAATTATAAAACCAACTGGTGAAACTAAAATAAACGTTTATTTCCATCCACTTAGCTGGAGAAACAAATGTACAAGTCAAAAGATTGACATGTTTACATATATCGTCACGTGTCTGTTTCAGCCGGGTTTTTAGACTTCAGGAACAATAAGGAAGCGGAATGGGATTACCAAGGGACATATTCAGCGGTAAGACTGGTTTACATATGTTGCATTGACCTTTGAAAGTTAAATACAAGGATACCTAAACGTCATTCTCGGTGAAATCTATCTTTAGTCTAATGTTAGTCATGTGCTTAATCGGGTCTATCAACGTGGCATGTCACATTGCGCTGGTTTTATTTGTTTGTTTGTGTGTTGTTTAACGCCGCACTCTGTAAATACTGGCGTCGGGACCAGACAATCCAGTGATTGACATCATGAGCATCGGTACACGCAACTTAGGATACGATGGCATGCATCAACCAAGTCAACGAGCCTGACCACCCGATCCCTAGTCGCCTTTTACGGCAAGCATGGGTTGCTGAAGACCTGTTTTACCCTGGATCTTCACGGGTCAATCGCTTCTCTCACTTTGTTTTCCTTCTGACCTAGAAGTGTTTGGTGCTAGACAAGGGGCCTCTACCGATCAATATCAGGCCCCTTGTATTGTCAACAGAAACACTGAAATGTTGCTGTCAGTGGGGTTTCGATCTGTACTAACGCTACCACTTCTTTCTGTTTCCTCTCACGATCCAGTGGGTGTTCACAGAGAAGATCGTTGACGTCATCAACACCCATGACAAGAGCCAACCACTGTTCCTGTATCTGCCCTTCCAGAACGTTCACGCCCCGACAGAGGTGAGACATTGCTTGGTACAACACCAGTTGAAGAGGAAACAGTTCAGGAAGATCTTGTCACGTGACATTCCATCTACCCTTTCAACACTCATAGCAAGATTCAAGTCGATTGATCACAATTTACTTGGCTGCTAGCTCCACTTTGTGATGTAGGTCCATTTAACTGTCCATAGTTGAATATCCTATTACTAAGAGCCATATAGTTACAACGTTTACCCAAACTGGAAATTCTCTGTACTGTGGAACAAAGTACACCGATAGTACCAACAACCAGCTTATACAGATCACATTGCATATAAACATAGCTAGTTTAATATCTGGTGCCTATATAAACATGCGGGCAAAATAAACTATAAACCGATGTTTGATGGCGGCTACAAATATAACAAACCAAAATGGTTATTCGGTTATGTCTTTGATACAGGTATCATAGTTGTGTTTCGACGAATGTTTTCAGCCTAATGTGGTTTTGATGACGTTTGTAATTATTTGGGCAGATCCAAATTTCAAGGGTATACTTTCCTTTGTTTAGATATTTGTTCATACAAGTCTTTTTTATTTGTACAAAATATGTCTCTGGGGAAATGTATTTGATAAGGATGTGTCATGTGATATTGTTGTTCCCTTATGTTCTTATTCTGGTGTTAATTAGCTGCTAAATGATAATATTGATGGGTATTTTTCAAATGCTATATGATACATATGTTTTTCACTTGTTATATGATATACGTACGTAGATGATATTCACATGCTATATTATATAGATGTTATTGGCCTGTCATATTATGTAGATGTAATTCACCTGTTATATGAATAGGTGTTATCACCTGCATGCATAGTTTGTTCACAATCAGTATAATATGAACGCCACTATGTTGCAGGTCCCCAAGATATATGAAGATAGGTTCCCACATGTTGTGAATAAGGGAAGGCGTGTGTTCAGTGGTGAGTATTAACCGTCCTTGAGGCATGTGACCAGCCAATACATGATAACCTAGATATAAGCCTTCTGTGGTCGCCCTGTGATATACAGCATATCGCTGTGTACAATTACGTCCCTTACACGTACCAGGATTCCCTGGTCATGGTTTAATTCCAATCTCAGATTCAAAACGATTATGACCCTTGGTGACAGCACTATACCCGAGCTGATAGGTTTCAGTAATCATGTTGACGTCGACTACCCGCGTGACCTTGACCTTTTTTGCCATTGATTAAAACTAGCGCAGTTTTTCATGAACAAAAGATAATGTTTAGGCGGCGTTTAAATCCAACACACACTTTGAGTAGACATACTGATATGGTAGTACGCAATTAGTTTAACTGATTCGAGATGACGACCAGGATAACGAGGCGTGCATTACATACAATAGAACAGACAGGATAGGAAGTCAGATCCGTTAAAGTGAAAACACTGATAAAGTGAAAGCACATGTTGGAGGTGATTTGCATAGACAGTAAACCACGGTTATAACGAACACGCTTATAACGAACTAACGGATATAACGAACTAACTTTTTAGTCCCGACTATTTGCTGTAGTTATACTGTATATATGCTTAAAACGAATTACGGTTATAACGAACTAAAATTAGTAGTCCCTTTGAGTTCGTTATAACCGTAGTTTACTGTACTGTACATACTCTTGAGCCAAACAGATGTAATGACTTGCATATACCTGCTTATGGACCAATCAGATGTTATGACTTGCATATACCTACTCATTTAACATGACAGTGTGTCATGGACGTTCAGATTTCATATTTGTTCAAACCGTGTGTGCAGTGATTCAGGTATATACGACAAATGCCATTGTACATGTATATTGTTAGCGTTGGTCATCTTTATAAGGATATTTACAACATTGCAGGGATGGTGAATGCCCTTGATGAAGCTATAGGGAACGTGACTGACGCCTTAAAGGAGAGAAGGCTGTATGACAACACGCTGTTCCTGCTCACAGCTGATGTACGTGACTATGTTTGTTTGTTGTTCAACGCCGAACCCTGAATATTCCAGCTATATGATGGTGGCCTGTGCATTATCATAGACCAGACAAAACAGTGATTGATATCATGAGCAACGTCCCACAACCTCTGGGTACGATGACATGACCAAGTCACCGAGCTTGACCCGTCGATCCCTTTAGTCGACCCTTTACGACCAGCATAGATTGTTGTTTAACGCCTCACACAGCAGTTTATATGACGACGGTTTGTAAATAATCGAGTCTGGAGCAGACACTCCAGTGATTAACATATTGAAAATCGATCTACGCAATTGGGATACGAAAGCAAGTCAACGATCCCAAGCCCTTTATACCCCATATACCAGTATATATATGATATTATTTGCAGTTGGCATATTGTAAAAAAACTTTAAGTTGTCGGGTTCACATGTATCTTGAAAGCGTGTTGTTGCAGAACGGAGGACAGATATTCAACTACGGCAACAACTGGCCCCTGAGAGGAGGCAAGCACTCTCTGTGGGAGGGGGGTACGAGGGTGACGGCGTTCATGTCGGGGGCAGGACTCCAGAAGACGGGCTACACGTATGATGGGTAAGATAACCTCTCACGAATACCATTTCATAGTTGAATTGTGAAAACAGCCTGTTAGTTACTGCATTCGCTCGTCACGCTTAAGACCCTAGTTACAATCTTAATAACATTAGTACAATGCTTAAAGACAGTCTCTGGTGTTGCCCATGCATGCTGCCGGTTGGTGTCATGTATGTTGCTGGTTGACGTCACGTATGTTGCTGGTTGATGTCATGTATGTTGCTGGTTGATGTCATGTATGTTGCTGGTTGACGTCACGCATGTTGCTGGTTGACGTCATGTATGTTGCTGGTTGGTGTCATGCATGTTGCTGGTTGATGTCATGTATTTTGCTGGTTGATGTGACGTATGTTGCTGGTTGATGTCATTTATGTTGCCGGTTGACGTCACGTATGCTGCCGGTTGGTGTCATGTATGTTGCTGGTTGTGTCATGTATTTTGCTGGTTGATGTGACGTATGTTGCTGGTTGATGTCATTTATGTTGCTGGTTGATGTCATGTATGTTGCTGGTTGATGTCGTGTATGTTGCTAGTTGATGTCATGTATGTTGCTGGTTGATGTCGAGTATGTGGCTGGTTGATGTCATGTTTGTTGCTGGTTGACGTCATGTATGTTGCTGGTTTAAGTCATGTATTTTGTGGTTGATGTCATGTAAGTTGCTGGTTGACGTCATGCATGTTGCTGGTTGATGTCATGTAAGTTGCTGGTTGACGTCATGCATGTTGCTGGTTGACGTCATGCATGTTGCTGGTTGACGTCATGTATGTTGCTGGTTGACGTCATGTATGTTGCTGGTTGATGTCATGTATGTTGCTGGTTGATGTCGTGTATGTTGCTGGTTGATGTCATGGATGTTGCTGGTTGATGTCATGTATGTTGCTGGTCGGTGTGAGTGTTGTACAACGGTCTGTGTCATACTATGATGTGTAATGGCGTCCACGTAAACCAACAGAGAGTCAAATATTAAAATATAAATATGCAGTCAGTTTAATACGTTACATGATTCTGAAGTCATACTTCAAATGAAAGTGTAGTGTGACTTTCACCCACGCCTCTTTTTAAATAAACAGCGTTACTTTCTGTTTAGAATGATCCACGCTGTAGACTGGCTACCGACTTTGGTTTCCGCCGCCGGAGGAACGCCGGGTAATTGTGATAACATACTGTGTAAAATTTATGTGTATACTTAATGAAACAAAATATTCTTGCCAGTAAGTATTCAAGTTCTGAACAGGACTTACAGGTTGGTATGTCCAGTGTCTGTTTCAGCATGATGTCCTGCCATGAATCTCGCGTCAGTTCACCTGTCTACATGTTACTTCCCCAGATCCAGACGGAACCGTTCCCATCCAATGGTCCTTATTAAATTGACCACCAATGAAGATTATTGCCCCTTATTCCCATCCACTGAAACATCCAGCCATGTTCCCACGATGATCCGTCTTGTCACAGTAAAGGTATTGTGTGTTTATATGATGCAGTGACAGACAGAGACGGGATAAATCAGTGGGACTCTATCAGGAATGGCCTCCCGTCCAAGAGAACCGAGTTCATCTACAATCTGGACTATCTTGTCATACCGACAGAAGGCCAAGCTGGCATCAGGTAAGAGACTGAAATATATCACAGGAAGTAAGTAGATCACATCTTCCCGAAGCAAGTGAGTCAACTGACTATAAAAGTCCAGTTCCACCTTTGCCGAACTAGGCTGATATTATGGAGATACATGTTGGCTGGACTAACGAGTCTATGCATAGTCCAATCAAAATCGCGCACCGAAATCGAAATCCGGTTCATAAAGTGTCATGCAGATTTCGGTCGACTGCAGGATTTGCAAAGCATGTGCAACGCTAACTCGTTGTCAACAGATATATTCTATTTCTTTTCATGTTTTTAATCAAGGTGCTCACGTGATTTGATGCACTTCACGTAAGATTCGTTTGATCACAATATAGATCTCGATTATCGATGAGGTCGTCTTGACTTGGCGCCACCGTTTTGTTTGAAGCAAATGCAAGTGAAACGAGAGGTTGAATCTGATTGGTCAATAGGAGAGGCATAGAAAGGACATTATTTGTAATAGCCACAGGTGGCGCTACGATCGAGCCCAGGAATTCCAGCCTAGTTCGACAAGGGTGGAAACTGGACTGTTATAGTCAGTTAACTCTTGCCTCGGGAAGATGGTAGATCAGGGCAAAAGTCAGTATACCGATTTTGTGTTTTTTGTAATTGACAATTGAAAGAACTATATTCGGTTACATGTATGTCTATTTAACCAGCACAAATTCCTGTAGCAGTTTGTAAATACAAATATATGGCAGGGTAGTTTTGTGAAAATATAAATTGGTACAAAGCTAGGGTAAAAAATGAATTTGCAACCAAATGATCCCTACCATGTTTGAAATGAAAATTTGCGCTGAAAAGAGGAAGTTGGTGATTTTCAAAGATAAGATGTCTGACATAGTTGTGAACAGTTGTGTATTATGCAAAAACAATTTTTTTTATTTGACAAAGTAAGAACTCGAATTATTTAAAAAAAATAAAACCATACAGAAGTATTTTTGTGCTGACTACGCTCCGGTACAATTCATTGTTTTATATCAATATGATATTTTATGATAACTTAAGATGCCATCAATTAAAAATTAAGCATATGATAAAGTCAACTACCCCTCAATTTTTTAAATTTGTCGTCCGCAATCAGGATACTACCTTCTTCAAGTCACTTGACCCCACAATACGCCTGCAGCGTTAAAAGAAGTGGGATAAGAAATGCCTAAAACCACCTACAACACAGCGACGTAACTTTTAAAGGCATGCGCCTTTTCAATTAATTAAGCTCCCAACTCTGCAATTTTGCTAAATATCTTGCAATATGTATGTATATTTTGTGTTGGGTTTTTTAAGGATGGGCAATTACAAACTGCTGCTTGGTTACCCTGGACAACAAGATGGCTGGCACCGTCCCATGAACAACACTGAAGATGATATATACGAAAAAATAATATATGACCTTGACCCTGATAAAGTACAGTTATTTGATGTAATAGGTGCGTGTTTAATAATCACGTCATAACCGAAATGAAAATACTTCATACAGATCTATTTGGTATGGATGAATACCATGTCTTTATTGAATGTAAGAAATATATTCACTTGAGAAATACTTATTTTTTACCTCATTACAGAAATATTATAAGGGTAATACTACGTTTGCAATTTTTTATAAATCCTGTGATATTAATGTACTACGGTGGGTAGCTTTATATATATGTTAATTATTTAAAATGAGGTCAACAGAGATATAACACTCTGGACACGTGACCTAATGTAATATGTACTAGGGGCCATGTGGCCTGAATTTCGAAGCCAACAAACAAACAACAAGTGATATACAATCAACAAATGTGTTACAAAATAAACTAGGTTTACAAATCAATACAAATTACTGCACAACAATTACAATGACAGTACACAATAGAGTGGTAGTACAATATTCAATGGCAGTGTATATTATGATGGCAGTTGTCAGTATCAAATAAGAAAATACAGTGGTGATAGCAAAAATCGGTGATAATATTCATCCAGCGGCGACAGCTGTCTAGCTTCCGAGACGGGCCCAGGCAGAGAATCAGGTGTGATGTGCGACCCTCACACGAAAACCGGCCTTAGAGTGTTGACATGTGTGAGAGATGCGAGAGGCATGCCCTTGTCCCCTTATATACAGTATAACTAATGGAAATTTCTACACATTGCCATCATCAGTCTAGCGGCATTAGAACATTACAAATTATACCATACAAGTCCACGGTAAATCCGGAAGTTTACAGATGTGACAAGCATCTAAATATAGAACTTCCCGGAGAATTATCATTGTCCAAATACAATGCAATAAACGTCTACCGAATCTTAACAGAAACAATGTAACACAGTTACATTCATTGTGCAACAATAACATATAACGATGTCATCCTACTTCGCGTAGCTAGATGCTCACGATGTCGATCACTTGACCCAGTCAAGCTCTCACCAATGATTGTGTCCGTTTCAGCGGACCCCACAGAGAGACATGACCTGTCCTCCCAACTACCAGACGTTGTTGCAAAGCTGAAGTTTCGCCTTCTGGAGTACCGAAAGCAGATGGTACCCCCCAACTACCCCGACGCCGATCCACAGTCCAACCCCAGGAAGTATGGCAACGCTTGGACGCCTGGCTGGTGCAAACTCTAAGAATGTGTCTCTTCATAATTCTTCATGTCGCGTAACGAGCTTGAACAAGACGTACAAGCCTTCATCATCGAAATTGTTTGCAATCTGAATTTACATACAGTAATCTACGGTTATAACGAACTCAAAGGGACTAAATTTAGTTCGTTATAACCGTAGTTCGTTATAAGCATATACATAACATGTACAGCAAATGGTCAGGACAAACGAATAAGTTCGTCATATCCGTCAGTTCGTTATAAGCATGTTCGTTATAAACGTAGTTTACTGTACACGCATGTTTGCTTGATCATAAATCAGTGTGGGTTGCTTTAAATGTTCAATGTACTAACGGAGTGCCGTTATATGCGACTGTAGCAATACATAACAGCAGTGATTTCAGTTATCGTCTGTGGATCTATAATTAAGTTACTTGCTAAAATTGAGTGGGAAATAAACGAACTGAATAGGTAACTGGTAGTTAGCTCCCCTGGGGAGTGGTTGCATTTCGCTTTGTCTCTCGTAAAAAAAAAAGAGAAAAATATTGACATCGGAGCTTAGGCCAACCTAATCAAGCACTTTGGCACAAAATGGGTGTCCCTATAGATGTCTGGAGAGCAAGGATCGGATGTTTTGTACCGCCCCGAGGACACAGGCTGATAGAGAAAATCAAACCCCAAACAGGTTACGGATGCTTCAATCAATGTCTCGGATGGGAGAAGAGGTGGGTGTCTCTGGCAGAATCAACAATTCACCCAGGAACGAGGGGAGTTCGCGCCCCACTACCCGCAGTCAGGCTACCAGCTCTAGGGGCAGCACGCAGGACCGCACTACCTAGGGGTGTGGCCGGGGCCCATACCAAGACACAAAGATTTAAAAAGTGATGACTCCTACAATAAAACTCTTATATTGGAATATATCTGGATTGATATCTAAATTTGATGATTGTGACATTGTTTCATATTTATATTCATTTGACATGGTAGGCCTCACAGAGACGTGGATTCAGAAGTTAGACTCCCAGAACAAGTTCGCTGATTGTTTATATTATAATTGACCAGGTTATAAGTAAGCAAAAGCAGGGATCATAGTTATGGTTAGAAAAAAGCTGAAAAAATATATTATGATGATATCAATTATGCAAGTATATTTAGATTTATGTGGAGAATTGATAAAGAAGAAATATTTCTTTGTAACTTAGCTTCAGACAAGTTTGTATCACTTGATGAAAAAGCAGTAGATGCCGTATTCACAAATATTGATGAAAGTATCGAGTTTATTAGAGGGGCACTCTCCAGTGCTGGGAATACATAAGTGGTTCACATGGATAAGAAAACACAACAATGGTTCGATTTGGAATGTCAGTTACTAAAAAAAGAGAGATGTACATGCCTCAACACATTCAGAAGAGATAAAGATTTACAGTCGATAAGGGAATATACAAGAATTAGAAATCTTTACAAAACCACGTGCAGGTAAAAGAAGATTATATTTCTTGAAAAGAAAAAACAATATTTAGAAGATAACATTAAGTCGTCGAAAGAATTTTGGACAACCCTCCGAAAGCTAAATCCACATTATGAGTTTATAATTAATATTGAAATTGATCAACTTTAAAAGGTTTAGAATAAGTTTAGCACAATTTAGATGCAGCTCTCATAGACTTAGGATCGAAGTAGGCAGGCATAGAAACATCACACTCTACAAAAATTTATAACGATCATGTCAACAACTGATAAAGATACTTTAAAGAATCTATCAATGTTCATTTATCATGCTATGTTAATTAGAATATGACCTGTTAAACGGATCTGTAACCACTCCCAAAAACAAAATTGTACGATGGGCCTGAGGCCTGTCAGTATGGAATAAAACTTGTCTTATCCTTAAAACTGAATAGAATTGTAAAAGCGGTAGTCTTTTCATTATTCTCTGGCGTTGACTTTTATTTTGAACTGGATCGATGTCTTTGCTGGTGGTCTGAAGTCCCCGAGTGTCTTTATAAGCCCAGTACACACACACACACACACACACACACACACTTCTCATTCGTTTCTCTGCACTAATACACAGCAGCCGAAGAATCAACAAATTCAGTAAACGCTCTGTCACGTCACTGGGTTGTCAGGTCACGACTCCATTGTTTACAGGCTGCCGTCGTAAAGCAGGAGTAACATTGAGCAACAAACTAATTAATACTTACTTTTTCTATGCAAACTGTGCGAGTGGGGGGTGACACCGGAAGGGCAGCACGTGCTTACACTTTTAGCGAACACCCGGTGTCATCCTTCATGTTCAGTGATCCATGTACATATAGCTTTCACCACTATTTTGTCTTTTACTCCCAATGGAATCCGTGTCGGCGGACAATTACGGAAATATTAACACTTTATTCTCTGGTTTGATCTAGTTTGACCAGAAATTATTGAGAATTGTTCATACCACTTAAGCCCTCAATATTTACCATATTGGGATAGTATGGATGATTTTCTAAACCGGCAGTATGCCTCGCCGCATTGGAGCATGTTTTAGAAAAAGAGGTGGTCTGACAAAATATTGGACAGTTTGCTGTTTTGTAGCTTCAGGTAAGCAGTGTTTGTTGGACAAATTTATCTCTTGGTCTATGACTAAATACATCACAAGTTTACAATGTTTTCATTCTAAATAATCTCTCCAACAATAGGTATGTCTTTAATCAGATATGGGCTAAAATAGGTACTTTCAGTCAAACAGATAGGACTTAGTGAAAAAGCTCAATCAATTGCCTTAATATTGATAGCGGTTAAAGTTTCACTATTCTTTAAACTGTTGGGTGTGGAGGTGAACACGGAGCCGAGGCATGGACCACAGACAGCAAACGCTCTCAGTTGCCAAGGGAGACGCTCGGTATTGATGCAGGCAGCAAGGACTCACCTGAAATTCTCACAATGTTGAAGACATACAAGGTTACATCAAACATATACACAAAGAAAAGAGTTAAGCACTCACTAATTTCATTATTGTTTGGTCCCAATATTTGTAGCAGTCATGAAAGATATAATTACGGGAAGAATGATGTTTTCTTGAAATGATATAATCAGTCATGCGTGACGAAAGCTCACGTGCCATGCATGGTATGCCCGTGCAGCATGCTACCCTCGAGTATCTCTAAAAGCAGTTATTCCATGACATTGTGTGACCATGGCACGAAGGCGATTATCAAACGCCACAAGATGGCAAATAATCGGCATGCATAACGCAGGAATGTCTTGTAATACCATTGGTCGGAATTTGGGGTATCATCACACTGTCGTAAGCCGCCTAGTCGAGAAACATGATCAGACCGTCCAAGATCCGGAAGACCTCCTGTGACGACACATTGCGAAGACAGGGACCTTCTTCGTCTCATACGCCGAAAACCCTATTTAATAAGTAATCGTCTGAAACTGCTGTGGTTGCGCAACCGTCGTTTCAGCACCAGAACTGCCAGGAACTGACTGAACGCAGCAGGACTGAGGGCTAGACGAGTCATAAAGCGTCCCTTGTTGAGAGATCACCACAATGCTGCTCGTTTAGCATGGTGTACTGCGCGACAGAACTGGAATCTGAGAACTTGGAGGCGGATCCATTGATCAGACGATATCTGCTCCACGCCACTCATTGAAGAACGAGAGTTTGGAGGCACGGACCGTCTGTTACTGTCACCGGAACACAGCCTACACCCCCAGGAACATTAAACCGACTGTTGCATACGGCGGGGCTCGGTAATGGTTTGGGGGTGGATCTCTGATGATTGCAGGTTGGATTTGGTCACCATAAGGGGCAACTTAACAGGGGCTCAGTATATCCGGGACGTTTTGAAGCTAGTCATCGTTCCTCATTTTGACAACCATCCTGTTGCTACTCGACCTCAGTACATGGATGTCAATGCCAGGTCTCATCGTTCGCATGCAGTCGTGGATTACACGAGGGCCAATGCAATAACGACTCTACCCTGGCCAGCAATGAGCCCAAATGTGAACCCCCTTGAACATGTGTGGGATATTCTGGGGCGGCGCGTACAGGCACGAGATCCTCCTGTACAAGATTTACGCCAATTGGAGCAGCATTGCATTAGGAGTGGTTGTTGTTGACCCATCAACAGATCCAACGTCTGACTGGAGGCATGAGACGTAGGGTGGAATCCGTCATCCGGGCACGTGGCGGTTATACCCGCTTCTGATATGTTTCACGTGTCATGTCAAGTAGAGACTTTAAGGAACATCTTCACACGAAACATCAAACGTAACAGGTTTACTTTATCCTGCGGCTCCATACTTTTTTTAGGAATTGTCTAAGGTCAAAAACAGGACCTGTGTTACCATGATGTTTTTTGTCAGTAAATTCCAATCACAACTCACCAATATCTTCTTAATTTGTTGTCAAATGTTTCTCTATCCGGTGACATTGGATCCTGTGGTCAGTCATCCAATGCCATGACGTTTGCCATTTGTCATGGTTCAGAATTAGGGGTGAGCTTAACTTTTTTCTTTGTGTACATGAACAAAAATCTCTTAATACAAAAATGGACAGCAAAGGTGTCCGATTTTCAGTCACAGCTTGCAGAAATATGATCTGAATGTCGAGAATTGATCAATAAACGCTTAATCAAACATGAACTTATTCGTGGTGGTTATATTGACCGCCTGTACTTTCACTCCGAGAACAGTAATTCTGCTTTTTCGTTCTTTATTTCTTGTTTCGGATTTTGTCAATAGTCTCACGAGCGAATCTCCTGTTAAAAGAAATGATGATCAAGTTGACGGTACATCAGCCCTTAATTGACATTTATGTATCATCACCACATCACCCGTATAACATCTATTTCGTGGGGGTGACCTCAATGACAGGATGGTGGATTTCTCAGATTATATCCCTGATGATGCACTGAATGTATCGTTGTTGTTGCTTTAATTGTTGAAGGGATAGCTTTGTGCCTAAACAAATTCGGCTGACCTGCCTATCTTTGAATGTATATATTTATCGGAGGCCATATGATGCATACAATGTAGGTCCGTCCGTCCGTCTGGCTGTGTGGCTGGGTGGCCTGCTTAATTGCTTGCTGGCAGGCTGACTGGCTGACTGGCTTACTGGCTTACTGGCTGGCTGGCTGGCTTACTAGCTGGCTTGGTGGCTTGGTGGTTGACTGGCTGGCTGACTGGTTGACTGGTTGACTGGCTGACTGGCTGACTGGTTGACTGGCTGGTTGACGTGCTTGCTGGCTTACTGGCAGGCTGGCTGGCTTACTAGCTTGCTGGCTGGGTGGCTGGGCGGCTGACTGTCTGACTGTCTGACTGGCTGGCTGACTGGTTGACTGGCTGGCTGACAGGCTGATTGACGTGCTTGCTGGCTTGCTGACAGGCTGACTGGCTTACTAGCTGGCTGGGTGGCTGGGTGTCTGACTGGCTGACAGGCTGTCTCGCTTACGGGCTGTCTCGCTTACTGGCTGGCTGACTGGCTGACTGACTGGCTGACTGGCTGACTGGCTGACTGGCTTGCCGGTTGACGTGCTTGCTGGCTTCCTTGCTAGCTGACTGGCTGGCTGGTTTGCTTGCTTGCCTGCTTGCTGGCTTCCTTGCTGGGTGACTGGCTGACAGGCTGGCTGGCTGGCTGGCTGGCTTGCTTGCCTGCTTGCTGGCGTCCTTGCGTGCTGACTGGCTTACTGGAGGCTTGCTTGCTTCCTCGCTGGCTGACTGGCTGGCTGCTTTCCTTGCTGGCTGGCTTTCTTGCTGGCTGACTGACTGGCTGGCTTCCTTACTCGCTGACAGGCTGGATGGCTGGCTTGCTGGCTGACTGGCTTGCTTCCTTGCTGGCTGACTGGCTGACAGGCTGGCTGGCTGGCTGGCTGGCTTGCTTGCCTGCTTGCTGGCGTCCTTCCTGGCTGACTGGCTGACTGGCTGACTGGCTGGCTGGTTTGCTTGCTTGCCTGCTTGCTGGCTTCCTTGCTGGCTGACTGGCTTACTGGCTGACAGGCTGGCTGGCTGGCTTGCTTGCCTGCTTACTGGCGTCATTGCTGGCTGACTGGCTTACTGGCAGGCTGGCTTGATTCCTTGCTGGCTGACTGGCTGACTGGCTGACAGGCTGGCTGGCTGGCTTGCTTGCCTGCTTACTGGCGTCATTGCTGGCTGACTGGCTTACTGGCAGGCTGGCCTGCTTGCTTGCTGGCTGGCTGGCTGGCTTGCCTGCGTGTTTGCTGGCTTCATTGCTGACTGGCTTGCCTGCGTGTTTGCTGGCTTCATTGCTGGCTGGTTTGCTAGCTGACATACTGGCTAACTGGCTGGCTGCCTGACTGGCTGGCTGGTTTGCTTGGTGGCTGGTTTCCTTGCTGGCTGAATGACTGGCTGGCTGGCTGACTGGCTTACTGACTGGCTGACTTTCTTGCTGACTGACTGGCTTACTGGCTGGCTTGCTTGCTTGCTGGCTGACTGGCTGGCTTCCTTGCTGGCTTGCTAGCCTGCTTGCTGGCTTTATTGCTGGCTGACAGGCTGACTTGCTGGCTGGTTTGCTTGCTTGCTTGATGGCTTCCTTGCTGGCTGACTGGCTTACTGGCTGACTGGCTTGCTTCCTTGCTGCCTGACTGGCTGACAGGCTGACTGGCTGGTTGGCTGGCTTGCCTGCATGCTGGCGTCCTTGCTGGCTGACTGGCTTACTTGCAGGCTTGCTTGCTTGCTTGCTGGCTGGCTGGCTTGCCTGAGTGCTTGCTGGCTTCGTTGCTGGCTGGTTGGCTGACTGGCTGGTTGGTTTGCTTGCCTGCTTGATGGCTTCCTTGCTGGCTGACTGGCTGGCTTCCTTGCTTGCTGACTGGCTGGCTGACTGGCTGACTGGCAGGCTTCCTTGCTGGCTGACTGGTTGACTGGCTGACTGGCTGACTGGCTTACTGGCTGGCTGGCTGGCTGGCTGGCTTGCTGGCTTGCTTGCTTGCTTGCTTGCTGGCTGGCTGGCTGACTTGCTTGCTTCCTTGCCTGCCTGTTTGCTGGCTTCCTTGCTGGCTTCCTTGCTGGCTGACTGGCTCGCTTCCTTACTCGCTGACTGGCTGGCTGGCTTGCTTGCTTCATTGCTGGCTGATTGGCTGACTGGCTGATCATGACTGGCTGACTGGCTTGCTTGCCTGCTTGCTGGCTTCCTTGCTGGCTGGCTGGCTGGCTTCCTTGCTGGCTGGCTGGCTGGCTGGCTGGCTTGCTAGCCTCCTTGCTGGCTTCATTGCTGGCTGACTGGCTGGCTGGCTGGCTGGCTTGCTTGCCTGCTTGCTGGCTTCCTTGCTGGCTGACTGGCTGGCTGACTTGCTGGCTGGCTGGCTGGCTGGCTTGCAGGTTCTATTCGCGGCATCATGAACCAAGTGGATAAGTCTCTGTCTAAATTGATCCCAATCACCTCATGCCAACTGAGATACTCGTCAGCAACCCATGCTTACCGTAAAAGGCGACTATGCTTGTCGTAAAAGGCGACTAACGGGATCGGGTGGTCAGGCTCGCTGACTTGTTTGATGCATGTCATCGATCCCAATTGTGTAGATCGATGCTCATGATATCAAGCACTGGATCGTCTGGTCCAGACTCGATTATTTACAGACGGACGTCATATAGCTGGAATATTGCTGAGTGCAGCGTAAAACAACAAACAACAACAACAATTATATTCTTATGTTTAAAGTACGGAATTTATCACGAATCTTCTATCATAAATCTGTAATGCTGAAAATATTGACATCTGGTGGTCAGGTTCTCACAACGCTTGTATCACGCATCATGTGCATGTGTTATCACATGGAATGTATGGCCTGTACGGCCCTGACATCCTTCAGTGTACACTTTGATCCCATCGTCAGGTTATCTGGACCGCCTCCGTGGTGTAATAGATAGAGGGTCTACCTGGATAGTGGAAGGTCTGCGGTTCGATCACCGGTCGCGTCATACCAAAAGACGTTAATGGATGGTACTTGTTGTTACCCTGCCTGGTACTCGGCATTAAGCGGATAATGCAAGGACTGGTCGGCTCGGAGTCAGTATACTGTGTCTTAGTGGGGTAATGCGGCATGATACCTCAGAGCTTGCACTTTAAAACCGGCAGTAGTCCGAACTAGTACAAGCAGACACACGCACGCACGCACGCACGCACGCACGCACACGTTGCTATATGAGTGCAATTGTCTTGAACGCGACGCTAACCCCAGTTTTTACCCAACCCACAAGTTAACCTGGCAGTGGAAACTCTGCCAACGACTTCCGTGTTAAGCTACAAACGCCAAACATTCTTGTTTTTGATGGTTTCCGGATTGTTTCTAACCATAATGCTTGTATAAGTCGAAACAGAAAGCAAAATAATTCAATTCCAGTATCTAATAAATGGAAAAGGTATATGTGACATGCAATGGTTTGGGTAAGACGGCTTTGTCAATCAAAAGTTACACTGACAATTTAAAGTACGGCATGGTTTGTATGTCTACAGTCACATGTGTAGGTATTTACTTCTGAAGACTGTGTTCTCTTTACAAGACTGGAGAAACAGCATCTAATCAATTGTAAAAGCTACTTTAGTGTTTCGTTATTTTTTTTGTTATTTTTTTTTTGTTTGGGTGGGGTAGGTTTTCTTTATAGTGATTGAGTGAGTTGGGTTTAACGCCGCTTTTAACAGTATTCCAGTTATATCACGGCGAGTCAGCTTAATGTGGGAGGAAAGCCCGAAGTGATGCAGGTCTCAGACGTTTACCTCTTCGGTGAAACCCACGAGCACGGGTATGGTGTTTTCTTTATAGTTTCACATACATCAAAGGTGGAGCGGTCGGACAAATAACAATAAAGTGTATTTCGCTTTGTCGAATCCTTAAACAAATTATAAGAGCAGTATCGTCCTTGCATAAAACCGAAATTGTATGACCCAATGACTATATTTATATTCTATTCACAACCAACACGGCGGCACTACGGGCTTTGTGTCATGAAACACCGCAACTCAGGTTGCCAGGTCCCGCTTGTCCTGGGTTCGAATCCAAGATTCCATTATATTCCTGTGTGAACAACACGCCTTGGCTCGTGGATTTCAGCAAAATGAAAAACGCCTACCGCCTGCGATACTTTAGGCTTCATCGCTAAACTGACCCGTCTGTGATATAACTGACATACTGTTTGAAGCGGCGTTAACACACAACGCTGATACCTGTAAAATAGCAACACGCATACACTTCTTTTGGGAAACGTGTTGAGAGAGGTCCAAAGCCCAATCACTCAAAACGACCAGAGGTTTAAATTTAACCAAGATGGAAAATACCTAATTGATATAATGCGCCCTATATCTTAATCCGATTTGATTATCAGCGTCACCGTCAGCCTAAAGCGTGTTAACTTCGTGTTATCACAGAAACACGGTCAAGGCTTGGGTATCTGATAATACGTGTATTTATATATACGATTTTCAAGACAATTTGTAGTTGATCCTGGAGGCGCTTGAACATACACTAACATGGCGACAACTGCAACGATCCTCCTCCTCGTCTCCCTCATCGGCGGCGCCCTCTCACAGCGTCCCAATATTGTATTCATCGTCGCGGATGACCTAGGTAATATCCATATCTAACTCGGAAGACTTGTTCAACTATAGGGTTGAATATTGTTGCTGCTGGGAATAAAACAGGGTTTTGCCAGCTACGTATAGGTGAAGGCGTTGATACCTCCTGTCAGCCACTGCTGATATTTGTTATTATCAAAATGCACAGAAGTATTTTCCGCACCCAAATATATATTTTTGTATATATGTATGGAGAAAAGGTTGTCACGTTGTCACGTTGTCCCTATGCATGTCTATGTCACGTATGGAGGGCTCACAAGGGACCAAATCATCCAAGGTAACCGGAAGTCGCTGTTCAGAGTTGCGTCCCTTTGGCGTGTCAAAAACCAATGATGGTGGGTTTAAATCCCAGACATAAGGCCATGGTGCCACCTATAGAGATGTGCCATTCTGTGAGGTTTCCCTGCTTAGATATGTGTATATGATAAAGCAGTTGTTCTTTTGCATGTATCTATTGACGCAATGTCCATCGTGTGATGGGTCACAATATGGCTGAAATATTGCCGATCTGACGTTTAATATTAACTCATTCACTCAACGTGTGATTGTTATTTTAAGGCTGGAATGATGTTGGCTTTCGGAACAACGAAATGTTGACCCCTAATATGGACAAAATGGCGCAAGATGGTGTGATACTGGACAGACATTACGTACAGCCGCTGTGCAGTCCGTAAGTGAAATTTGACATTGTCAGCACAATTTGCGTCTTACTTTTACTTTCACAGTCAGTGTTGTAATTAATTTTACAGTTAAAGTTACATTTACAGTTAATGCTATATCCTACAGTGAATGTTATATCCTTATTCAATATTATATCCTAAGTCAATGTTATATCCTACAGCCAATGTTATATCCTAAGTCAATGTTATATACTAAGTCAAAGTTATATCATACAATCAATTTTATATCCGAAGTCATTGTTATATCCTACAGTCAATGCTTTATCCTAAGTAAATGTTATATCCTAAGTCAATGTTATATCCTTAGTCAGTGTATATCCGAAGTCAATGTTATATCCTACAGTCAATGTATATCCGAAGTCAATGTTATATCCTACAGTCATTGTTATATCCTACAGTCAATGTATATCCGAAGTCAAAGTTATATCCTTAGCCAATGTTATATTCTACAGTTAATGTTATATCCTACAGTCAATGTTATATAATCTATAAACAAACTCATTACCTTCAGCATGTTCTTTTTTTTTTTGTCATTGCACCTTTCACTAATGTACAAAACCGTCATTTCAGACTTTTAATAACTCTTTGAGAAACTCACAACTCATGTGTGTTTATGTCTATACATTTCAGATCCCGGAGTGCATTTATGTCTGGTGTCTTTCCCTTCAAATCTGGCCTTCAGGTAAGTACTCGGGATTCGTTTGGGGAATAACGGTACAAGATATTCCCTCGTCATCTCGTTATCTCGACTGTGTCCATATCTGACCGTGCCCCTAGAGAGATAACACGAACCATTATGTTATCCATACCTTTCAAGGTGTATCGGCCAATAAAGCCCTGTGGAGATCAGGGTCAGAATTGGTCTTCGGCAAACCATGCTTGTCGAAAGACGCGAGTAGCGGGGTCGGGTGGTCCGACTCGCTGATTTGGTTGAGTTATGTCATCGTATCCCAAATGCGTAGCTCGATGCTCACGATATCATTCACTGGATTGCCTGGTCCAAGACTCGATTATTTACAAACTGACGTCATAAAGCTGAGTGCGACGTTAAACAACAAACAAACTTATTGTTATTGTTTACACAAATGAAACTGGTGGTCTATTCGACTGCAAACCGGAATAAGTAATGGACATATACCTTATCCACGTGTCTTGCGATGCAATACGATATTGCGGATATTCACGAAACCATTCCTCCAGGAATATATACACCGAGTAAGCATAGCAATAAATTGTATATGTTTTCAACATCTCAACTGGTATAAACTGAGGTGCTAAATATTATAGAACTATTTTCTCCTGTTTGAATGAAGGCCATCCGCGATCGCCATTGCTGTGCATGCACTTATTTCCCTCTCTGGCAAACAGAATCATTCGGGTCAACTAGATTGTTTCCGTAACCTATTTCGAGCAGCTGTTAGGCAGTAATATATAACATGATTTCAGCGTAAACAGCATAATTGTTTTTGTTTGTTGACTTTTTGCTGTTTAACGCCGCACCCAGCAATATTCCAGCTTTTTTACTTCGTTCTGTAAATAATCGAGTCTGGACCAGACAATCCAGTAATCGACAACATGAGCATCGAACATATCATAAAATTAGGTTTACAGCCCCTGCCATCTTGTGTCGTGTATTGTGAGAATTGTGAACTAATGAAGTTAGTTCCAATATGGATTCCTCTCATTTGTGCCCGAGATAAACTGTGGGACTAAGAGGAGCCGAATGAAACACATCGTATTGACTAATCTCTGTTTTCAGCATGACGTCATACAAGCGCGCCAGTCCGTGTGCCTCCCCCTCAACTACACCATCATACCACAGGAGCTGAAGAAGTTAGGATACGCCACACACATGGTGGGCAAGTACGTACGTCAACACAGCGACAGCACGTTCAAACTAGTGTTTGTGATGTGTACCACACCCTTCACACAGGGTGCGGGGTAGCCCAGTGGTTAAAGCAATCGCTCGTCGCAACCCCGACCCGCGTTCATTTCCCACATGGGTACAATATGTGAAGCCCATTTCTGACCATCTTCCCGAATCAAGGGAGTAACTGACTATAAAGGTCCAGCTTCCACCCTTGACGAACTAGGCTGGAATTATGTTTTGGCTGGACTATCCACGAAATTTCAGCCTAGTTTGGCATGCGTGGAAACTGGACTTGTAAGTCATGTAACTCCCTTGCTTCGGTAAGATGATTTCGGATGTGACAGTTCTAGAATATTTCTAAACGTTTGGTTGGTTTGGTTGGTTTGTTGTTTAACGCCACACTCAGCAATATTCCATCTATATGACGGCGGTCTGTAAATAATCAAGTCTGGACCAGTCAATCCAATGATTAATATCATGAGCATCAATCCACGCAATTGGGATACGATGACATGCATCAACCAAGTCAGCGAGCCTGACCACCCGATCGCGTTAGTCGCCTCTTACGACTAAGGCAAGCATGGGTTGCTGAAGCGGCGTGAAACTCACTCATCCATGTATATTTGAACAGCTGAATGACTCAGTGAATCTTTCACGACTCCATCAAGTATTTTTACTCTTTAGTTTAAGACCAGGGTGTTGTTGTACAAAGCGATCTTAGCGCTAAGGTGATCGTAACTCCCATACCTTAACATAGACTTTCGACGATCGTACCGATAAGGTTGTTTTGTACCACGGCACCCTGGCCGTATTTTCAAATCAACTTCAACTACATTCACGTGTACAGTTGCTCTCCTCTGTACTACAACACTCTGATAACCATCTACCTTCAGGTGGCACCTGGGTTTCTGTGAGTGGGAGTGCACGCCGACGTTCCGGGGATTCGACACTTTCTTCGGCTACTATAATTCAATGGAAGACTATTATTTGCACAACATGTGTAAGTACAGAGCTCACCCGAGTACACGTAAAAGTACCAGTAGGAATATCGTTATTATTTTAAAAATATAATGATTCCACGTTTTCACAACCCTGTACAAAACCACCTGGGTAGCCTAGTTGTTCGACGTGCTATTCTTCGTTGCTCCCAGGTGATCATGGGTTCGAATCCAGATTGGCCCGAAATGCACCTTGATCTGACAGCACCGTTTTCTCGGTTTTCGCCAAAGCTGCAAACGTGCAAATGATTTATTTCGGGTTTTCCTCTCGCATGAAGCTGTCGCGTCATCATATTACTGACACTATATTTATAGCAGCGTTATCCACAGTTCATTGATGAACTCACTCATCTGAACAGCGGGGGATACATACCACGGTTTGTACCTGTAACATACATACTATCAACAAAATATACTAAGATGATGAGGAACACCAGATGTTTTCACATGACTACAGTTAACATGGCTGTCATTTTATTGCAACACACAGCCTTCTTATTATGGGTGTTCTATAACTTGTTTTGTGTAGTATATGAATAACTATTACATTCAAAATTATAACATCACTAACTGCTTTTTAATTCCTTAACATAGAACTTCTTTTTGAAAACATGTAACCAAAACGTCCTTCCACATCAGAAGCACAACTCCATCCCCTCTCCCTACATTGTGAGCGGCATAATTAATTCAAAGCACGTTACTTATCGCCGTATTCGCCGCAAACAGCTGCAACTTTGCTTATACTTTATATTCAGCAATATTCACACACTCACTGATCTGCATTTTCCTCGTGTATGTTTCAGCCGGGTTTTTAGACTTCAGGAACAATAAAGATGCGGAATGGGACTACCAAGGGCAGTACTCAGCGGTGAGTGAGTAAGTGAGTGAGTTGGGTTTAACGCCGCTTCTAACAGCATTCCAGTTATATCGCGCGTGTCAGATTAATGTGGGAGGAAAGCCCGAAGTGATGTAGGTCTCAGTCGTTTACCACTTCGGTGAAACCCACGAGCACGGGTATTGTACTGACAAACCTAGAAACATAATACGGGGCGAATCGGGATTCGAACCCACAATCATAGGTTTTAATTCTGCACAGTTAATCGCGGCGCCCGAGACGACTGGGGCACCCATGCCCCCACTCAGCGGTGAGACATGTATGCATGTGGAGTTTATTTTAAGGTATAATAAGGTTGATATTCAGAGTTTGACTCGAGATGTCAATACCTTATAATTTTTTAATGTGAAGTGTACACGATATACGGCTTTTCCATTGGACGAGGGGTCGGTCACATGACCGCGAATTTTACAATCACACGTCACAATTTGACGTTCATACGTTTTTCATGAGACCGTGATCTTGAGATGGCGTTAACACTGACGGACTACGTCCCCATTCCTGACTGACTTACTGAGGTAGTTCTTAGCACACCTTTCTCATCTAATGATGACATTGTTTTAATACATTTGTTGTAAACAAACTGATGTTCCAATAGAGCGAGTTGAAAATGCATACGCTTACGTCACCCCTCTATTAAAGGAACTATTTTAATCCGCGACACAGCTGGTTGTTGTATGGCTGTAAGTATAAACATGAAGTCACACTAGATACTGAATAAAACTGAGTGTAAAACATAGTGATGTAAACAAAAGTGAGGGCCAAACATTGGCAAGCTACGACGTTCATACAGTCTGGCCCTAACTCTATGGATGTTTATACTCCAATGAACTCACACAAAGTGAAAGTCAATTTTCAAATAACGGATTTTGTGGCAAATATATATGGCATATACACAAACACACACGCACGCATACACGCACACGCACGCACGCATCACACCACACCACACACACACACCTCAATAAACGCAAATTGTAGTTATTTCGTAAATAAACAAAACTGCTTGCAATTTGAGAGAACACTCCATTAAATATATAATTTAATAGAAAACAACGCTGAATACGTTTATCATATTGATTGTATCTGTCCATTATATAAATATGTATATACTGAACAGTATAAAAAAAAACAGTATTTAAAATGAAATGTATGTATGCATAAATCACTGTGTTCCCTCCAGAGAAACCTAATCATAAACATCATGACGTTGACATCTATCTTTGTAAGGTACAAATTGTTAAATGTTCTTCCCTAGTGGGTGTTCACACAGAAGATCGTTGACGTCATCAACACCCATGACAAGAACCAGCCACTGTTCCTGTATCTGCCCTTCCAGAACGTCCACTTTCCCACAGAGGTGTGTGATATATTCTTTCTGTGATTGCTTCCACCTTTACATTTCTTATCACACGATTGCCGTGCACCAGTGAGAAATCGAAAAAATACTATTGCAACAGAAATGAATCTATTCAAATACATACACTCGACAAAACCGTTATAAGAAATCTCTGCTGAAATCCCTGTCCACCGATTGGTCCCTTCACAAATACACGCAAAGGCAAGTCAAGTATAGAACTTATTTCCTTGTAACTGTTTGAGTACGTGTTAGTTTTACATATAACACATGCAAGTAAAATATATGAAGATGTTAATATATCAAACGGGTATTTATAAATTGGTAAACACCGAACTGTGATATGAACCTGTGATATGCATGATGTGTTATGATTCAGGTGCCTAAGGTATATGAAGACAAGTTTCCAAATGTCGTGAACAGCGGAAGGCGTATATATGACGGTGAGGAACTATGGCTTTATTTGCGGGAAGTAAATATACATGTCATAATCAGAACACAATCAGAAATAATCAGAAAACTTCATTTGAGTGTTCCTACCATGCAACCATGATCAGCATCTTCCCGAGGCAAATGTGTTAACAGACTATAAAAGTCCAGTTTCCACCCTTGCCGAACTAGGCTGGAAGTCTGGAGTTACAGTTTGGATGGACTAGCGAGTATATGCATAGTCCAATCAAAATCGCGTAACGAACTCGACATCTGGTTCGTAAACAACATGGGGGGCACGGGTGGCCCAGTCGTCTAAGGCGCCGCGATTAGCAGTGCAGAATTGCGCCCCCTCGCAAGCAAAAAACCTATGATTGTGGGCTCGAATCCCGGTTCGCCCCGATTATGTTTCTAGGTTTGTCAGCACCATACCCGTGCTCGTGGGTTTCACCGAAGTGGTAAACGTCCAAGACCTGCATCCCTTCGGGCTTTCCTCCCACACTAATCTGACACGCCGCGATATAACTGTAATACTGTTAAAAGCGGCGTTAAATCCAACTCACTCAGTCACTCACGTTAACAACATGGATTTCAGCGTACAGATGTCCGTCGACTGCAGGATTTGCAAAGCACGTGTACCGTCAACTGGGCGTCGACAGATAATTTGCAAATCTTTTCATGTTTTTAATCAAGGTGCTCAAGTGTTTTGATGTGCTTCGCGGAGTAAGACCTGTTTTATAAAGATACAGATCTTAGCTGGGCGCTGACATTTCGTTTGAAGCAAATGCAAGCGATATGAGCGATGGAATATTATTGGTCAATAGGATGGACGTAGAAGGGACATAACTCGTAATATCCACTGGTGGCGCTACGATAGAGTCTGAAAATTCAAGCCTTACATAGTCAGTTAACACCCTAGCCTTGATGCATGATCAGGAACGTTCACATTTCAAAATATTGATTTTCAACTATATGCAGTGTTTCGCGCTGATCAGACATAAGTATCACTGACTCACTATAATGCATTATATCAATACTGACTACATTGCAGGGATGGTGAATGCCCTTGATGAAGCTATAGGGAACGTGACTGACGCCTTGAAGGAGAGAGGGCTGTATGACAACACCCTGTTCCTGCTCACAGCTGATGTACGTGACTACGTTTGTTTGTTGTTGTTTACATGCAGATATGACAGTGAAGACCCGGCTTAGAACTGATCTTCAGCAACATATGCGTGTTTCCCCCCGTGAAGATCCGGGTTAGAATTGGTCATCATGATCGGTAACCCATGCTTGTCGTGAGAGGCGAGTTGGCTTGGTTGATGCATGTCATCGTATCCCAACTGCGTAGCGCGATGCTCATGATGTCAATCACTTGATTGTCTGATCCAGACTTGATGCTTTAGAGACCGCCGTCATACAGTTGGAATATCGCTGAGTGCGACGTTAAACAACAAACAAATAAACAAGCATGATGTTGTTGTTTTCACGAATGAAACTGTTGGTCTATTCTTTGTTGTCATGTACCTTGGATGCGTGTTGTTGCAGAACGGAGGGGAGATATTCAGTCACGGCAACAACTGGCCCCTGAGAGGAGGCAAGCACTCTCTGTGGGAGGGGGGTACGAGGGTGACGGCGTTCATGTCGGGGGCGGGACTCCAGAAGACGGGCTACACGTATGATGGGTAAGACGGTTGCGCAATACAGAAACTGGTCTATAAATACATTGTAAATCAAGTAGTACAAATTCTAATTTGGAAATACGAAGATATTTGTAAAGTCGTGTTCATACTTGACAAGAACACATAAAAACACTCCTCTGTAATAATTAGGTTGATGCAGTTATATCTGACATGAAGTACATCTACATCATTACAATGGTGATGGCCAACACTGACTTTCCCAGTGTACGCCCAGCTCATTTGTATAACATCAGTCCCGTGAAGAGCCGGGTAGAGAATAGGTCTTCAGCAACCCATACTTGCCGTAAAAGGCGACTATGCTTGTCGTAAGAGGCGACTAACGGGATCGGGTGGTCAGGCTCGTTGACTTGGTTGATGCATGTCATTGTATCCTAATTGCGTGGATCGATGCTCATGATGTCAATCACTGGATTGTCTGGACCAGAAACACTTATTTACAGACCGCCGTCTTAAAGCTGAAATATTGCCGAGTGCGGCGTTAAACAACAAACAAACAAACACATATATATATAACATCAGTCTGTGAGGTAATGTAATAGTTCAACCTGCTGGTGTGTATATTTTGTCAAGCCTACGTCATTAAGTACTCAATACTATAACAGCGTTTGCATTATATTGCAATGGAATGAGTACAAAACGTCCTGTGATTGCCCCGTGAACACTGGAGATGTAAACACTCCAGGAAAGGAGAACAGTTAACCACTACACCAATGATGGACATTGAATGTTCAATAAATCTTCTTCTGTATCTGTAGATACGAACCAAAAAGAAACCGAGGTTTCGAATTCGTGATTACCCGCTGCTTACTGCAAGTGTCAAATTATAACCACATGACTCTCTGTTCAGGATGATCCACGCTGTAGACTGGCTACCGACTTTAGTTTCCGCTGCAGGAGGGACGCCGGGTAGGCCTGCTTAATTAATGTATTTAAGGAATTACTTCAATGGATTTGTTGCACTTATTGACGTATATACGTATCACCCGGTGTGGATACTGTACCGCATTTATGCAAAGTGTACAGGCCGGTTTTATTGTTTACAACCCCAGAGATGCAAAAACATATTGAAATCAACAATAATAACTTGACTGCTTTTTTAATCATTAACGCAAAAAGCTGTAGACAACGTTACGAAAACAGTGACATCAATCAATGCAATAACGCGACACAAGCCCCGCCCACTCTTGTATCACCTAATCAAGAAACAGTAGTCCTTTTAGTGGGCGTGGCCAAAAGAATATTAGGTTGATGGAAACATGAACGAAGGAATCTTTAATACATATGACATTGGCATTAATATGCATGTGATGTATTATATCATACATCGTATCCGTGTGAATCTTCTGTAGAATGTACGGTAGTTATATATCAGCTATTATTTAACACCACTGACCTGTCCCCATGACGAGCCTTCTTGTGATTAATGTATTGTGTGTTTATATGATGCAGTGACCGACAGAGACGGGATAGATCAGTGGGACTCCATCCGGAATGGCCTCCCGTCTAAGAGAACCGAGTTCATCTACAATCTGGACTACCTTGTCATACCGAAAGAAGGCCAGGCCGGCATAAGGTAAATAAAAGCAACAATACGATAAGAAATTCATAATACTTTCAAATAGGGATACTATCAGGTGTTCGCGAAAAGGTGAACGTGTCCGGCCCCATACATGTCATCCGTCACAAACACATGCAAAGGCAAGCCAATTGCTCACCGGGAATCATGAGTGTGGTAAATACGTATCCCATACATCTAGAGGAGTCCAGGTCAGTACACTTTCAACGTCCGACGAAGAGGATGTCTCAGCGAACGAAACAGTTGCTATTGTGGTCGAGATAAAGAGAAAATCTTGGCGAACAAGATTGTTGGCATATTGGTCGAGTTACAGAGGAGATCTTGGCGAACAAAACTGTTTGTATGTTGGTCGAGATACAGAGGATATGTCAGCGAAAAAGACTGTTGACATATTGGACGAGATAAAGAGAAAATCTTGGCGAACAAAACTGTTGATATATTGGACGAGATACAGATGAGATCTCAGCGAACAAAACTGTTGACATATTGGTCGAGATACAGAGGAGTCTCAGCGAACAAAACTGTTGACATATTGGTCGAGATACAGAGGAGTCTCAGCGAACAAAACTGTTGACATATTGGACGAGATACAGAGGAGTCTCAGCGAACAAAACTGTTGACATATTGGACGAGATACAGAGGAGTCTCAGCGAACAAAACTGTTGACATATTGGACGAGATACAGAGGAGTCTCAGCGAACAAAACTGTTGACATATTGGACGAGATACAGAGGAGATTTCATTACTTCCCAAAATGTCAGGTTTGTCTTCCACTGACCGTACTGTCGGAGCGGTGTTTGACTAGCCTTGCAATCAGATCCTTGTTTGACTCAAAGGTTGAATATTTACATAGTTTGCTAATTTTAATTGCTGTCTGAAGCTGTAATAAAATAATGAAGCAGACACTCTCCACGTGGCAACAGTTCAGGCTAGGGTCTGATCGTTATCCATCAGTATCAACTGAAAGGATAGGTACATTGACAAATACACCCACTTGTACACTTCAAACAAAAGAAGCATGGGAATGAGATTTGTGTTTTGGTATATCATCGAACTAATCTAAAATTACCATAGTTTCTTTTCAACCAGGTCACGGTGACCTGTGATCTTTGGTTCGAATCCTGGTTCGTCCTGCTTATGTTTCTAGATTTGTCGGCACAATACGCGTGTTTGAGTTTCCCCAAAGTGGTAACCGTCTCAGACCTACATCACTTCGGGCTTTCCTCTCAAGTTAAGCTGACACTTGACGATATAGCGGAAATATCGTTCTAAACTCACTCATTCTCTCACTCTTCAATCAGATAATCAGAGTTCTACCTGTCACCAACTCCTTCATGGCTTTGCCTTTTAACGATGTCCGACACTGAAGGTGTCTAACTGGGTCTGTGTCACTGGTTATTATAATCACTTACCAGACCCAATAGCAAGGGAAACGTAGTTATTCAAGTTTCAAAACTAAATCCATGAAGAAAAAATGTAATTTCTGGTTTTTTTTAGAATGGGCGATTACAAACTGCTGATGGGTTACCCCGGAAGTCAAGATGGCTGGCACCGTCCTATGAACAAGACTGAGGATGACATTTACGAGGAAACTATATATGATCTTAACCCAGATAAACTACAACTGTTTGATGTGATGGGTATGTATTGAGTTTGGTAATAACTGCAGGTAAGTCACTGTAACGGCATTCTGGAAAAAGTCGAGTCAGACAATCCAGTGATTGATGTTATGAGCAACGATCCACGTCGTTGGGGTACGTTGACACACAATACCAAGTAACCAAGCAACCACCCGGTCCATTTGGCTGCCTCTTACGAGGCTAGATTTTTAGGAACCTTCCAACACTAGGACCCCCACGTGTTCAAATTAAATGAAAGACAGTTGATATCACCAGTTTAGTCAAAATGAAAATCAACCAAATCCAGTTACGAGGCGCAGTAACATCGGGCCTTGTCATCTCCTGTAGGACGCCAGGAGAGCACAGATCACACAAACCCAATATCTGGTAACAAGACGTGATTCATTAGATCCGCGCGTTAGACTTTAAAAAAACTATGACAGGTCTTTGCTTCTCATCGTGGCGTAAATCGTTGCTCATGTTTTTAGTCACTGATCTGCCAGGCCATGGCCCGAATATTTACATGCACCTTGACAAACGAGTAGTTGGGATATTTTAAACTGCGTCGATAAACCTCAATAAATCAAACACCCCTGAAATGAGTTTATTTATCCATGAGTCGACTGGCACTTTCTGTCTGTCACTGGCCATGATATTGCTGTAATAACCATGACACCTTGGGGATTCCGAGACAGAGGAGGTTCCGAGCAATGGCTTGGGTTGTCACGCTGGGTGACTTAGCCAAATTGGCGCCATCGTATCCCGTCGGCTTGGGTTGTCACGCTGGGTGACTTAGCCAAATTGGCGCCATCGTATCCCGTCGGCGTGGGACGTTGCTCATTATATCAAACACTGGTTTGTTTGGGCCAGCGTCGACGGCTGACTTGATGCGCTCATATAACTGTAATATTGCGAACAAGAATATTAGTATATTGGGCCAGATACAGAGGAGACTTTGTCTAGCCTAGCCTCGATGGTTTACTTGAGAGGGTCAAATAACTGTAATAGTGCTGGGTGCGGCGTTGAACAGCTGATAAACTAACCATGGTCTGACGCCCGCTCTGTTCTCCTTTAGCGGACCCCACAGAGAGAAATGACCTGTCCGAGGACTTACCAGACGTTGTTGCCAAGCTGAAGACTCGCCTTCTGGAATACAGGAGTCAGATGGTCCCTCCCAACTACCCCGACACTAACCCTAACAGCGACCCCACAAAGTATGGCAACGCGTGGACGCCTGGCTGGTGCAAACTCTAACACGCATGACGTCACCCGATAGATGTCACGTTGGAAAATCAGAAGCGGGTCTGAAGTTAAACCCTAAAAAGGTTGCTAAAAGCATGGATATCATACGTTTACTGAAGTTATTATTAATTTCGCCTTCGGAACTATCTTTGCACGCAACCATATAAATTCAGCGCGTTGTCCAACTTGGTGAGTTTCAGGATAAGTCCTGGTATGTGGAATGTTTATTATGTTGATACTCTCAATGCCAACTGCTTCTCTCTGGTAAACTCGGTATTACGGTGTATGTAAATATAAATATATATACGTACAATTGTGTTTGTTATTGTTGTTGTTTTTTATGTATTGTGTGTTCGTTCTATATTAATGTCAACGTAATATTTTCACTCGAGTGAGTGAGTGAGTGAGTGAGTTTGGTTTAACGCCGCTTTTAACAGTATTCAATGCAGTCATATCGCGGCGTGTCAGTTTAATGTCCGAAATGATGCAGGTCTCAGACGCAACTCTGCACAGCGAATCGCGGCGCCTCAGAAGACTGGGTCTGACTAACGAACTAAACTGGATTGATGGATGAATAGATGGATAGATGGATCGATTGATTGATATTAGCATCTGACACTTTCAAAGGGGTTATTTTCCAAATAATGAGCTGAAATCTGATTTTCAAAAATTGTGTGCAAAAACAATTTCACTTTAAGAATAAACTTATATCGAATGGGAAATACAGCGAGTAACCATCAGTGTAGATGTATGTGAGACGATATGTTTGTTGGTGAGGTGAAATTGGGTTTAACGTCGCGTCCAAGATTATTGCACTTATACAGCGACGTGCATGCGCGTGTGTGGCTGCTTGTACTTGTCCGGACTGATGCCGATTTATAGTGCTAGCTCACTGAGATACCATGCCGCAGTTTAACATGAATACCCCGCTCAGACACAGTATACTGACTCCGAGCCGACCAGTCCTTCTTTTAGCCCATTAATGCCGAGCGCCAGACAGGGTAACAACAAGTACAATCTTTTAACGTCTTTTTGTATGACGCGGCCCGGGATCGAACCCTGGACCTTCCGCTCTCCGGAGGCGGTCGTAGTTCATCAGAAGCATTACTGACTGTATAACGTGTATATTTCTATAACAGGTGGGCTTGGCAATGTAGACACACTAAAGGGCCTGTATATCAGGTCGATAGGTGCATCAGGTACCTGGTCATCAGGTAAATTGTTATTAGTATAGCATTAAATTACGAGACAACAATAAGCTGATGTTCTTGCTACATTAATTTATTTTCAAAATCCCCGTGAAAGCTCAGTTTCTTCACAAGCGGGGACATCATCACAATAATCCCATCTCGGGGTGGCTCTGTCGCCAACATAGCACCAGAGTCGCCCCACAGGACGGGTTCTTCCAAACGCAGGATCTCGGCAGTAGTTGCCGTTCTCGGCTTGGGTCGGAGTGACGTCATTTCCGTTTGCGATGCCGAAGTAGGCATCGCCGTAGCTATGTGTGTTGGGGGTGTTGCTGGACCAGGCTTGACATGTGTAGCCCCTCGTGGTGGTTGAGTGAGTGCCAGTGTATACGGCGGTGCCGCCTTGCCTTGCGTAACAGGTAGACGCTGGAACGATATCAGTGAGTGAGTGAGTGAGTTGGGTTTAACGCTGTTTTGAACAATATTTCAGATATATCACAGTGTGTCAGCTGTATAGGGGAGGGAATCCAGAATTGTTGCAGGTCTTAGGTGCTTACCACTTGGTCGAAGCTCACGGGCCCTGGTATGGTGCTAACAAACACGATACATGAATAGTGAGTGAGTGAGTTATGTTTAACGCCGCTTTTAACAGTATTCCAGTTATATCACGGCGCGTAAGCGTAATGTGGGAGGAAAGCCCGAAATGATGCAGGTCTTAGACGTTTACCACTTCGGTGAAACCCACGAGCACGGATATGGTGCTGACAATCCTAGAAGCATTATGGGGGCGAACCGGGATTCGAACCAACAAGCATAGGTTTCTGGCGTGCCCAAGGGACGCAACTCTGCACAGCAAATTGCGGCGACTTAGACTACTGGGCCACCCGTGACCCCTATTATATCAATATGATGCGAAAGTTGAATGTAATCTCTGAAGACGTGTATCCCTATGTCTCACCGTCAGTGCATTTAATGTTGGTTGCAGACCACAGGCCTCCCTGGCAGTTTGACACACGGACATAGCCCCCAGTGCTTGCCATGCCTTCCTTGCAGGTGTAGGTGGCGCTGGTGCCAGACACTGTCACGTCCGTGTTAGGCACCGCGGGGGGCGCCTCACACGGGCACTCGGGAACATCACAATAGTCCCATCGTGGACCACTTGGATCAGCGACGTAGCACCAGGGTCTTCCCGCTGGCTGGACTCTGCCCCCTGAAGGGTCTCTGCAGTAGTTGCCGGATTCCTCCTGGTTTGTTGTCGCGCCGCCGGACGCTACGCTGAAGTAGGCGTCAACGTAGTTGTGACTGTTGGGGGTCTGGCTACTCCAGGCTTGGCATGTGTGGCCGTTCTTGGTGGTGGACTTGGTTCCGCTGTACACGGCTGTTCCGCCCACCTTGGTGTGGCAGTCTGAGGCTGGCAGGGAGAAAGTAAACGTGTTATTAAATGTTCTGGTAGCGTCAGCTTGGATTTACACCGTGAACTCTTTAAGCAGGAACATATTTTAGAGAATGGGATAAACATGTTTAAATACTATATCATACCAGATGGTGTTGTAGTTGTTGTAGTCGTTGTAGTCGTAGTTGTGGTAGTTGTTGTTGTAGTAGTTGTAGTGGGAGTAGTTGTTGTAGGAGTGGTGGTAGTCGTATCGGTAGTTGTACTCGTCTTTGTTGGAGTTGTTGGAGTTGTAGCTGTAGTTGTGCTGGTTGTAGGGGTTGTAGTAGTAGTAGTAGTAGTCGTAGTAGTACTTGTACTTGTGGTAGTAGGTGTTGTTGTTGTAGTAGTTGTACTGGTCGTGGTTGGTGTTGTGGTCGTGGTAGTAGTAGTTGTCGTCGTAGTAGTTGTAGATGTTGCTGCAGCTGAAATAAATAATAGAAACCTTACACATTTCAGACCAGAGTGAGTCTGATTTATCCACTCATAAACACGCTGCAGTCATAGCACGACGTATGATGTTATATTACACACAAAGGAGCCCATATATCGGCCACACAGCACTGAAGGACTAATCTGCTCTCATCTGGGTACCATGTTAATGACCGTCTACTAATAATCAGCAATGATCGCAATAACAATGTGTCACCATACATCCTGAACGTGACGCTACGCAAAGACAGGCAGGAATCACACTGGATATAGGGAAGGCCAGTGAAATGGTACATTCTCGAGAGGAGACACTCATCGCTGCACGGAGATTTAGGGAACAGATTGCGTTCATACAAAGAAGTGACGTCACAATAAAACAAAGATACGTCATGGAATATAGAGAAACGAATACAGAATCTGACAATCTTGCTATTTTAACAACAGAGTAAAACAACTGGAGTTTAAGTGGCTGACCGTACCTGAAACATCACACACGTCGCCGCTCCAGCCGTCGGGGCAGTTGCAGGTGCAAGGGAGAGTGTTCTGTGTACCTCCGTTTTGACACACCTTGGAACAGGCTGTAATGAGAAACTGTATGTCAAACACATCTCCATGGCAATACCTACTGTATTGTGTTACAGCCCGATATGCACACTGCGTGTACAGGTGAAACACACAACATACCTGTGTTCTGTAGACTACATGTACAGGTGAAACACACAACATACCTGGTTACTGTAGACAGCATGTACAGGTGAAACACACAACATACCTGGCTCCTGTAGACAGCATGTACAGGTGAAACACACAACATACCTGATGGCTGTAGACAACAGGTACAGGTGAAACACACATGATACCTGATGGCTGTAGACTACATGTACAGGTGAAACACACAACATACCTGGTGTCTGTAGACAACAGGTACAGGTGAAACACACAACATACCTGGCTCCTGTAGACTACATGTACAGGTGAAACACACAACATACCTGGTGTCTGTAGACTATATGTACAGGTGAAACACACAACATACCTGATGGCTGTAGACTACATGTACAGGTGAAACACACAACATACCTGGTGTCTGTAGACTATATGTACAGGTGAAACACACAACATACCTGATGGCTGTAGACTACATGTACAGGTGAAACACACAACATACCTGGTGTCTGTAGACTACATGTTCAGGTAAACACACAACATACCTGATGTCCGTAGACTACATGTGCACATGTCTGGACAGTTGGTGATGTAGAATGAATATTTGCACCTGATGGCTGTAGACTACATGTACAGGTGAAACACACATCATACCTGATGGCTGTAGACTACATGTACAGGTGAAACACACAACATACCTGGCTTCTGTAGACTACATGTACAGGTGAAACACACAACATACCTGCTGTCCGTAGACTACATGTGCACATGTCTGGACAGTTGGTGATGTAGAATGAATATTTGCACTTCGTCTTGTCGGTGCAGTAGCTCTTGTCTGTTAGTGATCCACAGGCAACTGCAATCAACAAGCGTTTATACAAATACCTTGATTACAATTGCTGAAATCAGAGTCAAAGGCAAGCTACAGTTCCGGTTCAGCGCGACAGCGACTGAATGTTGGTTTACGCCAAGCTTGCTACAATTCAGCAACGAATGAGAGAGACAGCGAATGGCTACATTACCAACTAGTAAGTCCTAGCCAGTAATACACGTGCTATCTTCCAGAAGGCGTTAACCAGACTAAGTAAAGTCGTAAAGAACCCCATTGAAACTCTGAGCTGCGCAGTTGGGGCTCTACAGAGAGAATTCTTGATGGGCAGAAGTAGAAGATATTAGGAGATTGTCTTATCATCTCACCTGTCTCGCACGAGCCTCCGGACATGAACGCCGGGCAGGAGCAGGTGCAGGTTGCCTTGTCCAGAGTTCCTCCATTCAGGCACACCTTGCCACAACAGTCTGTGGACGAGATATACTCACATATCAATACACGGCCTGACAAAGTCAAAAGTAGATGTAATCGTATACGTGTAGTAACACCTTAGCAGTATTCTAACTCTTTGACGGCGGTCAATAATCGAGTATGGACCAGACAATCCTGTGATCGATAATTTGAGCAACGATCCACGCCGTCAGGGTACTAGTGTGTGAGTGAGTATGGTTTTATGCCGCTTTTAGCAATATTCCAACAATATCACGGCGGGGGACACCAGAAATGGGCTTCACACAGTGTCAGGAATCGAACCCGGGTCTTCGGCGTGACTAGCGAACGCTTTAACCACTAGGCCACCCGACCTTCCCCGTAAGGGTACGGAGACATGCTATCAACCAAGTCACCGACCTTGACCACGCGATCTATTTGATCAGCATAGGCTGCTAAGGACCAAGTCTAACCCGGAATCTCGACTGGGGTAAGTGATGACGACTTTGTGGGCCATGGTTTCTCAACGCGTTTGTAGTGAATGCACGTTTAGGCAGTAGCATAAAGCATTCGTTTTCACAAAGTTTAATTATAAGAACCAGAATTGTTTATCCCTTACCACAAAGGCCGGCTGCATCTCTCGCCAAACAGTCAGTCTTACAGGAGGCATCTGCACAATAGGTAAACGGTTGTGGCTTGTCCGACGTCAGTTGTCTGCCAATGCGATACAAATTTTACCATCGGTATCAACAAGGATTTTATTTATTATGTTAATATTGTTTTAAATCAGGTGATGGCGTGTTGTGAACCTCGCCAACTCGATGGCTACGGGAGCATCAAATACATAGATATTCACCCACAGTTCGAGACAAGCGAGTGTTGCTATTACATTATATGGCATATTTCCCAGAGGGAACCAACGTCATTGCAGCCGATCTTGTAATGTTCTGTGAGGGCCGGGGTCATATTTTACAATATAATAAGTTACAAACATAATTTCCCTCCTGTTTTACTAAAACAAAAAGTGTTCTCTTGATGTCCTAAAAGGATTCTGTTTGGGGGGTCACAGAAAATGTTCGGCATGTTGGTTCGTTTGTTTGTTGTTTAATACCGCACTCAGGAATATTCCCGCTATATATAGTCGCCTTTTACGACAAGTATGGGTTGCTGAAGACCTATCCTACTCCGGATCTTCACGGGCCATGAACTCAGATGATGGGGATTGATATTGTACATTACATGCAGTCGATGGGCATATTTGCAATGGCAATATACTCAAAGGACACGCATACATTCCAAAATTGTTTACATTTGTGTAATGCAGGTATTGTATATAGATCATTCCTTCTTTACCACGTTACCCTACAAATGATTATGTTACTCTGCTGTGTAGATATCTACACAAATCCAGGCCCTTATAAACTATCAGATTTTAACATAGTTCAACTAAATGTACGCAGTGTCAAGGATAAGACAGACCCCATAGCTATTGAGTTTTAATGTTAAGACATTGTCTGTATTACACAGACGTGGTTACATCCTGGCATTTCGGATAGTCAACCATCTATTCCATCTTTTACCGTTCAGGCTTGATCGCAACACTGGAGGTGGTGGCGTCGCAATATATGTCAGGAATATTTAGAAATCTCAGTAAGGTTTTATACCAGGCAATTCCACGAGCTATCACTTTTAAATCACATAAATTAAAAACATTTTACAAAATGGTTAACAAGTTGGTCCCTGAATATCTATGTAATCCTTTCCCTCTTAATGTCTTAGCGTGCGCACGTTTAAATTAAAGAACTTCTTCACAGCTACAGGCTGTAAATGCTTGAACAGTTAACTAATACAAATCATTTTACCCGATACAGTGCGAATCTGGAATGAATTACTGGATAATGTTCAATGAAACTGTACTGTATTTGTCTTCTCTAAAAGTATCACCACAACAGAAAATCCTAAAATAGTTGGCTTTAACTTAGACTTTATTACCTGTTTGTGTCAAATTATCCATTCAGGTTAGGATGCAGTGATTTAAATGCACACAAATATCACAGACATAGTCATGAGTCTACGACCTGCTCCTGTGGAAACCATTATGAGTTCGAGGATCCTACACATTACTTCATTTTATTTCGCAACAACTGCTATCTTCGGAACAATATGTACTACTATAGAAAGGATATGACTTGGATTCAGTATTATATGGAAATGCCACAATATCTACTGATCCGTTCATTTGTTCATTGCAAAATCTAAAAGATATAAAGTTTGAACATGTGTCTACTTTACGATTACATCAATCAAATAGTTGTTTGTATGTGTGACTGGCTGGTATGTAGAGGTATAGCTGGTCAAGCATATATGTGTACATACGTACATGTGCATGGATGTACCGGTTTGGTTATGTCCCGATATATGTACAGTATGTGTGTATTTGTGTATTTATGTATTTGTGTGTGAAGTATATATTTGCATCATAATATTTGCAACAGTAGGCACAATTAATCTAATTTTATTATTTTATGTACAGTTTACTCTTATTAAATTTTAAATGTCCTCTTTATGGAGAGATGTTTAAAAGGGCTTTGCCTGTTAACCAGTCCATTCCCTTTTTTGGAAATGAATATTGTTTAAATCAAAATATGCGGTTCACCTTTCAAATAAAGTGCATGTCTTGAAGTACCAATACGTGGAGTTACGAGTCTTCGATGTCATTGTCCTTGCACAAATCTAATACATACCCTCTTGCATAGTTACAAACGATCTTTTCCTGGATGCCACTGGCCTCGCTGCATTCTGCTCTGCCACATCCTATGCGCGCGACATCACTAAGCACCACCTGATAATACGACAGACAGCATGGGTCACGTCTAGTGAAAAGGGCATTCGTTTGTTATTACCTAGACGTACGTACTTCAAACACATTTGTTATTACGTATACGTACGTACATCACACACATTTGTTATTACGTAGACGTACGAACTTCACACGCATTTGTTATTACGTATACTTACGTACTTCACACACATTTGTTATTACGTAGACGTACGTACTTCAAACACATTTGTTATTACGTATACGTACGTACTTCACACACGTTTGTTTTTTACGTATACGTGCATACTTCACACACCTTTGTTATTACGTACAAGTACGTACTTCACACACATTTGTTATTACGTAGACGTACGTACTTCAAACACATTGTTATTACGTATACGTACGTACTTCACACGCATTTGTTATTACGTATACGTACTTACTTCACACACATTTGTTATAATGTATACGTACGTACTTCAAACACGTTTGTTATTACGTATACGTACGTACTTCACACACATTTGTTATTACGTATACGTACACACTTCACACATATTTGTTATAATGTATACGTACATACTTCAAACACATTTGTTATTACGTATACGTACACACTTCACGGACGTTTCCTAATGTTTGCGTCAGTCCATAACCCTGAACCTACAGTCAGTGATTTTCGTAATTCAATAAAACGGCAACGCCAGAGAATAACCAGTTTCGATTGATTATCTGTCGGAACAGATTCCACTGGGTGTAAAAGGCAAAATGGTGGTGTAAACTCTATGAATGGATCACTGACAATAAGAATAACGCCGAAAAGGGTAAACATGTTCTGCTCTACCGGTAGCACCCGCCACTCGCACAATTCGCATAAATTCTCATTCTACTAAGTCCTTAAGATTCACTGTTGTTTACCTACCTGTGTGTAGTGACCAATGACGCCTCCATTGACAGATCCGGTTCCATACTCGAAGTCCTTAATTTCATCGTGCCAAAGGCCTACAGCGTCCTCATACGAATACCAGGGTTGTGGCAGCGTAGCAACATTCTGACCAATAATAATACCATGCAGACCTGGAAATAAGGTTATAGACTGCTGTATACGGCGAGGGAGTCAGTGAACAGGGATTTAGTGATGTGGGGAAAGGTTTAAGGGCATTTGTCATACAGTGAGTGTCAGTTTCCAAGGTTGGTGGGTTTGTTGTTTAACGCCGCACTCAGCAATATTCCAGCTATATGACGGCGGTTTGTTCCCAAGGACACAATGATACAGAGAGAGTTAGTGAACAGGTACTTTGTGACACAGTGACAGCTAGAGAACAGGTACTTAGTGACACAGTGACAGCTAGAGAACAGGTACTTAGTGACACAGATGATCCATCTAGTCCACCATTTCTGGGATTCGAACTTGATGTGAGTGTTGATAATAAGCGAACCCAAACCTTGGACATTACATACATAGTCGTGGTTTCAAGCATCAAACTGCAATTTGATGATATGTTGTTTATCATTGCTACCGTCACATATAAACATTTGAACTGCTGACAGAAACATTCCATGAAAGTAACTTCTGAGACAGTCAAGGCAAGTATTCTTATTACACTGCTATCGTCAGAGTTTAAGATATATTTGACTGAAAGGTATATGCGTCCTTTCGACGTAAGCACTTGTCACCTTGACTATTGTGCAGCGGCAGAGAACATTGTGTTAACGCTCTTCTAATTTAAAACTTCTCTTGGAAATACGAACCGCTCATGTCTTTGAAATTAATATGATAATAACTAGATCTAGACATGTGACAAAATATATTTTTATGATACGCATCTAAGGGAAAAATGATTTAGCCATAATAGAAATAATTGTAAAGAGTGGGTGAGTGAATATGGTTTTACGTCGCTTTTAGCAATATTCCAGCAATAGCACAGCCAGAAATAGGCTTCACTCATTTTACTCATGTTGGGGAATCGAACCCATGTCTTCGGCGTGACGACGGAATGTTGTAACCACTGGGCTACCCCACCGCTCCTAATTGTAAAGAAGATGAGCTTAGGAACTTACTTGGTACAGATCGCTTGTTTGAGGCAGATTCATGAGCTCCTATCTGTCCACACTGCTGAGCCCATTTCTGTGCAACGGCGGCGATGTCAGCGTCCCATATCTGCAAATTAGAAAACATAAGTGAACAATCGCTTTCCAATCTACGATTCCGATTACATGCAGATCATAAATATGTGTTTATGAATCACTTTCAAATAGTGATGATACCAGGTGTTCACGGAAACGTGAGCACCGGTGGCACCCGCCACAAACACATGTAAAGGCAGGTCAATTGTTCTTCTTAAAAAATGTGGCCAAAATAGGAAATTGCATCGGACATCATTTTGGTCACTGATGCGTCAATTTTGAAATGTTCTCAAAGTTAAAACGTCTCAAAAGTTTTGAATATTGTTACCCAGATTAAACAAGTTTTGAGCGAGTCATATGGGGCTCTTTGAAATCCTCGTAGAAAGAGCATTCTTTACTGTACCTTAAAGGTTGTGAAAGGTTGACACAATAGAACAATGGAACTGCTGGGATTATGCTTGACACAAGGGGAAAGTGGACAATGGAAAGATGTTTTGTCATACACTGTTTATGTCACTCTGAGTTTTTATGTACAGATTTAAATTTGAAAGAGTTGAATTTGTTTTACTGGTCTCTTTTGTTCCTACTCTGGAGTTGTGAATCAATGGAAGGAAATTGTCCATGTGATCATTATTGGACGATATCAGATCATATACCTGAAGCTCAAGTTAAACTTTTTGGCGTAATCCCTTGGTTGCAAATCGGAGCAGAAATTCCGATAAACATGCATGAAGAAACAGATCAGGAGGGTCGATAGCACAATTGGCGCTTAGTCGGAATCCTATAGGACGATGCCTGAATGGGATGCATTATATTTAGCATACAACTGTGGTGCGATTGAACCCGCCAATAAGAAACAAGCCTGTTAAAAAACTTCACACTCAAGAACGAAGCTATCTGACTGATGTGACATCAGGTACCGTATAACAGTGATACGTGTAGGCTTGAGTGTCCCCACCGACAGTTCCCTGTTGCTGGCTCTTTGATACTTGGGGCGGTCAGGTAGGCTAGTAGGTAAAGCGTTCGCTCGTCACGCTGAAGACCCGGGTTCGATTCCCAACAGGGACACAATGTGTGAAGCCCATCTTCTGGTGCCCCCCGCAGTGATATTGCTGGGCTATTGCTAATAGCGGCGTAAAACCATACTCACTCACTCTACTGATGCTAAACAGCTGCATTAACACAGCTGTAGTTAAACCTACTTCAGAAATGTGGTATCATGTATCTTTGACAGCAGTTCTACGCTGATGAAGAGAAGAGGGGCGTCAAGTATTCTGTGATAGCACTCTTCCAGCAGCATCAATGCGAGGGATGCCAAGAGAAGGAGAACAGGGGTTTCTTACTCCCGATCATAGGTGTCTGGTGTGTCTAAGGGACACAACTCTATCACAAAGCCTGAGATGACTGACATTCTGCCCCACCCCTACCACCATACCATTGACAACCTCAATTTCATTTCAACTGATCTCTTTACCTTGAACAATTACCCTACTAATACTGAGACAGTTTGTCACATCGGCATTGCTTCAACACAACAGTGATGACAAATTACTTCCTTGTGACTCCAAGTGTCTACACGATCATCTAAACTGCTGACTCACCAATTTCATCATCCCTGCAGCGTTTGGTTCCTGAGCCCTGAAAGCGTTGTGTTGATCAACGAGAACCTGCGCCTCCGCAGCGCTGAATGGAGCTGGGTTGGATTTGGCAGCATCGTCAAGACACATGCTGTGGTCGGCGACAAGAGCCGTGTAGATAGGGTCACATGCCTGTGTAAATTAGATCGAAAAACCCTTTTCATAATCATATGAAATCGCTGCCGAGAGAGTCCGCTGCACGATTCCGACTTCCAGTACATGTATATTACAAGCATGTGTTATGAATCACTATCAATTTGTGACGATACGGGAGAATCTGTCTTCTCCGACCATTGCTGTTGTGGAGGGTGAAATGGCTGCCGTATGTTCAATCTGGCTCGTCTTCATCGTGGTTTAGAAAAGGTAATAGAAATTGTAATTTTATCTTCAAAGGTTATACCCGAATGATCATACGCACCATACACACAATAAGCATTATACGCATCTTACGCATCATAGGCATCATACGCATTATAACTATCATACGCACCATGCGCATCATACGCATCATGCGCATCATTCGCATCTTACGCATCATAGTCATCATACGCATTATAACCATCATACGCACCATACGCACCATGCGCATCATACGCATCATGCAGGATCAAATATATTTGTTGTCTGGTTCTTACTTTGTTATACAATAGTTTACTTTCCTTATGCAAAAACATATAAAATACTTACCGCTCGTTTATTCCTGGATAGCCCTGGAAGAAAGAAGATACATGTTGCTTCCATTTAGATTTGAAACCTAACTTTCGTACCCCCAAAGTGTAGCATTCAATGATAATAATATTAATGATATATAATTGGATTCTCTGTCCCTTTTGACACTAATATGATAAACAAGATTCAGCAAAAACATGGCAAACAAGCGGACCTGCTTTCCAATTGTGGTGCTTGCATCCCAAATACCAAGTTGTCCTACTCCCCATTGTCCTCGGTGCCTCCCAATCTGTTGCCTGACACTGGGAGAGTACCCGAACTTGCTGCCAGAAATACAGCCCTTCTGACAATCTGGGTAATGCAGAAGGCTGCAGTGATGGGGAGTCTACACATTTTCCCAAAGATTTTCGGTGGGTTCGGCTGAGCAACGCTTGTGGGAGAAGTTCCATTCGCTGTCTGGGCTGCGTTTAGAGGGGGCAAGAGCCCTGAGCTGATGATGAGCCTAACCAGCCTGACTCTGCCAGGATCAACCAAACCCTCTTTGCTGCATACACTCGGTTACTTTGAATTCATTCTCAGCTCCCAGGGGAGTATACCATTATACACGTGTAGTGGAAGCGTGCAAAGCGTTGAGTGTAATATAACGGAAATACAATGAAGTAGCCATGTTAAAACACGTGTTTTGTCATACGAAATACAGAAAAAAGTTTTCAGACAGTGTAAGAAACAAAAAACAGATTATGTAGCCGTATTTGTCATCACCGTGACCACGTGCTCCGAGATGAAAATACTTAGGAAAAAAACTTAAATGTTTAACAGCTTAATCAAAGGCAAGCGTCAACGGGAGATGCCCTGATAACCACAGGCTACCTTTGTCCAGACATTGTACTCAATAACATATTTGAAACGTTTGTGATCATGGTTATCGTTTCATGTACGTTAAATTGGTATACATAATACATAATAATATTTTATTACACAAAGAAGCTTTGAAGAAGGAACGTCACTAAAATTTGCTTGGGTAGACAAAAAACCGAGTCTCGCCCCCCTTTAAGTGAAGGGAAAGGTAGGGTTGAACTTACCTCGGCAGTGAGAGAGCGGAACACAGAGAAGTACCACAAACAGTGATATGGCGGACAGGTGCTTCGGAGAACTCATGTTCGTCTTCAGAAAATGCTGTTCTTTTTTTTCATTCTACCGGTATTTATAAAAGCTGACAGGTGTTAAATTTAGGTAAATAACATGTGGCCAACTGTATAGGTAACAAAGAGAACAATTGACGAACATTGACGTGATATTTACACGTACACCAAGGCCAGATGGTATGGACTACGTTGGTCACATCATATGGCGAGATGGCTAACTGACCGATATAAGCCAATCGATCATGACAAGACAACTTTGATGTAATTGAATTAAAAATTCCCCGTTCCAATACCGTGGTGATTTTAAACTTTATTGTCAAGACAGCACTAGAACAGAGCACATGCCAATTCAGCACCAAAGTGTATTAGAACATGAATTATTCCTGCACATGGATGTATTTTGAGCTTAAGGCTTATTATTGAATGCATGCGTTTGCCATTCCGTCAAATATGGAGTACATGGTGTTCTAACATTGTTTTTTAAATGTATCTTGTTTTAGTCAGTTAATCAATTATGATTTCGCAGATTATACACTGCATGTACGGTTTAGAAAATAATGCAGGGATGCTGCTGTTTTGCGGCGTCAGGCAACAAACACATACCTTTTATGCAAATTCTGTAAGTGGTGGGGCTATTGGTAGGGCAGAGCAAGCTTACCCTTTTCGCGAACACCTGGTGTCATCACTGATTTAAAGTCATCCATTTATATCATTTTCACCCCAATTTTGCCTTTTGCGCCAGATGGAGCCTGTATCGTCGGATATCGAAACTGGTAATTCTCTGGCGTTGACGTTTCATATTTTAAATATATTTATATAGTGTTATAATCATGTGCGTTACACTACAAAATGATTGTGGATGATTGTGGACAGGATCATCTTACAGAGGCAAGTCATCGCTGCATAAAACCATAGAAAGCATGATACTATTTCACCGAAAAACCAATGAATAATTGTGTACAGATCTAGTACCTAACCATTACAAGAACTCTTGCATGTTGCTGTGTTTGTTAAGGCAAAATGAAAACCAACCATATTAAAAAAATATGTTTAATGTGTTACATATTGAACTGGAAGATAGTATTCAAATATGGTCACAATACGATAAAAAATATGTGATTGATCACCTCAAGGCCATATTAGTTTAAGAAGTGAAAATGATATCACAGAATGATCACCATGTTCTTTCTGATTTGTGTAAGATTTCTGATAAAATGTTCTCGGATGCAAAACCTTATTTTGGCATGTAACGTAAGTTCCCGTGTGTTGTTCTTCATGTGAATAATTGACTTGCCTTTGTATGTGTTTGTGACGGGTACAACCGACGGGAAGGATACGCGCGCACCTGGTATCATCACTATTTGATAGTGATTCACCAATTAACACATGGTTATGACACAGCCGGAATTTGTCAGTCGACCCTGCATTTTACAGAAATGTCTTATGAATATTGACAGTGTTGTGCCGCTTTTATCTCAGAGTTCACTTTGTTTTGAATCAAAGTCATTAAGCTGTTTGTATTACAGTGCATAAATTCCATTATCTTTCTATATTTTTCACGAATTCAACTTAACCAAGGAAATTCTAAAATTCGAAAGTCGCTAGACCAGTAATTTAGTTTTTATCGCCACTGGTCGGCCATGACGGCTGTCCCTTGGCGAGTTCATTCACGCGAACAGTAAATTACGTAATCATAGATAAAGTCGGTGGGTACGTCCTCCCCGGCCATTGTTCTCTTGATAAATGTTTTGTTACCAGCTAGTGCAGGTTTTGACCATCATCTAAATACTGCAATTAAAATCAACACTTGTTAGGCAATACTGATACTCTTCTATTACCACCTGCTTTGTGAAGTCAACTTTGACAGCCTATGACAGATAATAAAGATGGAAATTACAACTTTAAAGTAATTGTTAATGTGATACGAGTATAGCTGTGGGGGTATATAACTCCTTGGGTGTTGGTCCTTGGCACACTTGCTTAAATAAACTCTAAGGACCTCACAGCTCTCTCCTCTCTTGTTTCAAGGCTAGCTCCCAATAGCTATGAGTGTGTATCACTGATTTGCAGTGATCTGTTCATATAATTATCATCATTATTTAATGGAATGTTTGGTCGGATAATCGAGACTGATTATTCTCTGGCGTTGACGTATAGTGGAACTACAGAGGATCTGGTTGAAGCGCACGCATCGTCTGTTAATTTAAAGGGATTTAACTATGCAATGGCCCTTGTAAACACACTGACCACTTTTTTATGTTTACAAGAACATGTTCCAGTTCTAAACATGTTTTGATTTTGTGGACGCTGCTGTAGTGTAGTTTGACCTAACCCCTTTCATGTGTTTACAACCTAACCGCAAACATGGTAACTTGAACATTTTTATGATGTGATCAGGGATTGCAACTATGCGCCCTTTCAATGTTATTGCCGAATGACCGAAATACGTACAGACCAAAGACTCCCTGACCCGCAGTGGAACGCTTTGTCCACATGTCCAAAGAGGGTGCCACGACAATGGAATTGCTATCTGTGGAGTTCCACGCCTTGGCACACATACAAAACAATGTGGCATCTATGTCACTGAACTGTCGATTTTACTCACAGATGTCCCTAAGAAATTGTCATTATCCTCTGTCACGCTCAGTATATACAATGTGGATATTTCTATCTACATATAGACACTTGTTGATAGCACATGCCGAGGCAACAATGAGCAGAATTTTATACCGCATCTTTTGTTGTCTTCTATAAACGTAGCCATAACGACTTCAAATTGTTCAGTACACGTGTATCCACTGTATTGGGAAGATTGCGCATGAACAGATGTGTGGCTTGATTCACAGCGGCAGTGTAAGGAATATTTATCATCCAAAACTGGCTCCCACAGGAGATATCGCTTGAATTAGATCATGCGATATCTACACTGTAGATATCGCTGCAATGAAATTACATCACAATGCTTTGCAGACCATTGTGACGTCACCGGTTACCATGACGTCACAATCAAACGACATCACTAATGGCTCTGCTACTGAAGCTGTTTGTCGTACTTTTTACACTGAAAACACTGCTAATTACTGTCTACAAATTGAAAATGTTGGAAGAATGATGCTGGATGATAAATAAAATCTCACCCTCGTGTCTTTTGATATCAAATATATCAACACTCGTTTATCAACTCATGTTGATATATTTGATATCAAAAGACACTCGGGTAAGATTCTCTATATCTTCTTCTTTTTTTAAACTTTATTCACATTTCCAATAAAATACAATGTGTAACATTTCAACAATTATACATTATTCAAAATCCACTCCTCATACTTTCAAAACATATTGCTGGTATAGACAATCATAAAATATATCATACTACTCTTCTTTGATAGGATTGAAAAGTCGGTGGAAGAAAGACCAGAACTGAAAGAAAGCTGTCTATTTGCAATTTGAGAATGCAATTAATTTGGTCATATTGTAGTATCTTATAACTTCACGTTGAATATATTACAACTTTAGTTGAAAACCCTTTCGTGATTGTTTAAACACAATAAGTTGATAAGTAATATAACTACATTGAGAGAGTTGTTATTCTTCCCCTTAAATCCAAATAAAATATTCTCCTGACAGAAGTCAAGTCTTCCTTCCACAGATGCCGTGAACCAGTTGAGAACAAGCTCCCACTTCTGAGCAACATATTCATGATCACAACCATAAAATGCATGTACAATAGTTTCACTATATTTACCACAGAAGTTGCAGCTTGATGAACCTTTATAACCAATACTATGTAAATATTTATGTAAAGGTAATATGTAGTGGATAATCCTACACTGAAACCATCTCAGTTCTACGCTCTCGGTACACCTTGTTGCCATCAAATTAAATCCCACTCACTGTTCATCGGTAAATACTTTCTGTAAAGTTTCTTCCCACTTAAGCATTCCCTGACATGTTATAAAAGCTGATTGTAAGAGTGTGTTAGAGAAGAGTTTACTGCCTTTATTACACCTTGTGAGTGGTGAAACATTGCATGGCAAAAAAGGTGGAAAAGAGACCCTAGGCAAACTCTTAAAGTTACCATTGCTTTTTCTGGCAAGTTGCATTATTGATTGAACTATGCTCTGATATGTTAGGAAACTTGTTGTTATTCCATATCTATCAATAAAAGATTCATAGGAACATATTTCACCTGTTTCATCAAAAGATCGCCAATAAATGTAACTCTTTTACAAAACCAAGTCGGATAAAAGATGGACTTTCCTCCTATCTGAATGTTGTTATTAAACCATAAAGCCTGGTTTACAATGTCAATACTACCACTGACATTACTCTTTGATTAGAAACTGTTCCAGGCTTGTAATGCATCTTTCCAAAAGTATGTTGTCTACAGCAGGACTAGTTTCATCAGTGACATATTTAGCATCTGCCATCCATTATCTGTTTATGTTTGGGATAGAATTCAATGAAAGTAATACCCATTTTGTGTTACTACAAAGTATTTTTTCGCCCAGAACAGTTTTTGTGAATCAATCATTACTTTAAAAAAAGGTACTTTTATCCCCCCAAACTGATATGGCTGTGACATCACATTTCTTTTAACCTTGTCTGGATTTCCTTTCCACACAAAAGAAAACCTTTTTTTAAAGTTCTCTATTACTTCATCATTAGGTACAGATGTAAACATTGATGATTTAATTTTGATAACAAAAGTTATTTTAAAACTGTATTTCTACCTATTGGAGTCAATAATCTTGATTTCCATACATTCATTTCCCTTTCAAATTTTTTTCAAATTTATCGGTATAGTAAAAGTCAATAATTTCTTGCAAATCAATAGAAAAGTTAATTCCCAATAATTTGAACGTTATAGGAATCCAGTCAAGATTCTACTCTTTACAGAGCTTATATCGTTATCTCTTTTTGAACCAATCCATATCAGTTTGGTTTTGTCAGTATTAACTTTAATCCTGAAAACCTAGCAAAAAAGTTAAGCGTATTTAACACATGGTAGAGGCCCT